TGTTTCAATACCTCTGCGGCTTCGCTTTCTTAGCCAACTGCTCCAATCTCTTCCTTCTCTCCTCCTTCTCTTTCTTGAGCTTTGCTTCCATCTTCGACTCGTCTTCATCTTCCTTCCTTGCAGCCTTCTCTGCCACGGTCTCTTCTTGTTCCACATCCGTAAAGCCAGCCTCCATGTCATCGGATCCATCAGAACCATATTCGTCCTCTTCGATGTCGTCCAAGTCATCCTCGTCAGTGGCTGCGTATTCGTCGTATCGGGATTTGCGAGGATTGGCATCTCGGTCTCTCGTGATTGGGGGCTTGGCAGTCGCGGAGACTGGTTTCATGGTTCCTTTGTAAGTTGGTTGTGGTAGCTGGGGTTTGGGTTTTGCTGTCCCCTTGTAAGCCGGAGCTGCAATCTTCTTATTCGCTACAGATCCTGGAGCCGGACTGCTGCTCAGACTACCGGAAGACCCGGGGCGGCTGTTATTCTTGATGCCAAGTTTCTTGTCCTTCATCGCCTTCTTTTTCATTTTCAGCTCCTTCTTGTAACTTGGCGCAATTTGCTCCTTGGGCTTATGACTAATGGTGCCTACGGGAGGCTTGGATTGATTTGCTTTGGCTCGAGCCATGATCTCCGCATATGATCCTTTCTTTGGTGCCTTCAGACCGTCTCCCGTAGGTGTTGTAGGAGTAGCAGAAGCCGGGTCGAATCTGCTAGTACCGCGGTAAGGCATTACAGCGCTAGAAGACGAGAGCGAGATGGGAGGCTTTGAGGCTCTTGCCTGTGGATTTGTCGACGGTGTCGCACGAGCAATTTGCCCACTTGCCATGCTGTTCCTCACGATCTTGCCGTCTCGACCTGCTAATCCATCTTCCGCCTTGCGCTTTTTATTTTGGGCCAGGTCTGTGTTGGCTGACGAGACGCCATTCTGGCCCTGGATGCGACGCTGCTCAGAAACCGGATCGCTTGGTCTCTCGATCTGAGGCCGCGGTAGTGGCATGGGAGGTTGTGGACCATTGTTGCCGATGGAGCTGAGTACTGAATTGAAGAACTAGGTATGAATGTCAGTATCCGGTGATGAGGCAATGATCAGGATCCAGCCTGGGTGACTCACGCTCATGATGGAAGTACTGTCGTCTCTCTGGGTTCAGTACTACCGCCGATGATTTGTGGGTAGGTATGGAGGAGTCATACTATTGCTCTGGGCTGGCGAAAGCCTCCTTAATAGAAGACGCCAAAAGATAGAAGATGCAACAGTGACTCAAATAACAAGTGTTCTACAGCTAATTTAATTACGTGGCTGTCTCATGTGAAGGCGAGTGAATTGAAACAAGTGGTAGTTGGTACTCTCTATTCTTTACATCACGTGCATTGAGATTCGCAACTCTCTCCAAAAATCCGAATGCAGCCCTATGACTATCGGGAAAAACGCCAAGAATTTTAGCGTTTCCCACAAACTTCTACTGCCACCTGGTACACACTTCTTCCCAAAGATCAATCTCCAAGTTTGACTCATCACATCAATACTCAAGAACTCGACGTATCAGTCTCCGCTCATCCCGCGGTTAAATCGATTGATTCTCCTGTTCGAAACATCATACACCAAGAAAGTGCGAACATCACCGCTCGTAGCGCCCCCTGCATCGAGCCAGACTAACACAATCTGCAGAACAATCATCATGAAGCATCTTGCTGCATACCTTCTCCTCGGCCTCGGTGGAAACACCTCACCATCCGCCGCTGACGTTAAGGGTGTTCTGGAGTCCGTTGGCATCGACGCGGATGAGGAGCGCTTGGACAAGCTGATCGCTGAGCTGAAGGGCAAGGACTTACAAGAGGTATACAGCATAACACTTCTCGGAACTTAGATGGCACATCTCTGACTGTACCCTGTAGTTGATCGCAGAAGGCGCCACCAAGCTCGCCTCCGTTCCATCAGGTGGAGGGGGTGGTGGAGGAGCAGGAGGCGCTGGACCCGCTGCAGGAGGCGCTGCACCTGAAGCTGCTGAGGAGAAGAAAGAGGAGAAGAAGGAAGAGGAGAAGGAGGAGTCGGACGAGGACATGGGCTTCGGTCTCTTCGACTAGATCCAGAGAGATTCGGCAATATGGTGGATGATAGCTTACAAAAGATGGAATATGTGATGTGTCACGATGTTCATACAAGTTTCCATGACGGCAAGGTAATGGAAGACTAACGCAACTTATGCGGCTATGAACCATGTACTCGAGCGGACGTCTACTTGCCATTGCTAGAAAAGCCCATATTGGTCAAAAAGAGTCCACGGGGTCGCATGTTATGTGATCACATTGTATAAGAGCTCTGAAGCATGCATTAACTCCGGTCAGCGAAGCAGAAGCTCCTACTAAAGAGCTAGCTGTGGAAGACAGGTTTGCTCAATGCTTTCTGTACTCTGTACTCAGCTCACATACTGTCCCCACACCCACATCATCCACACCAAGGTCACCGCATTGGAAAAGACCGGTCCAATCAGCCCAAAGCCCCAGCCAATCGTCCCATAGGTAAGCCACTCGCTGGCAGAGTGCGCTATGAAGACTGCTTGAACGATCACGTTGAGCCGATAGACCATTGGGTCATACATGTTGAAGACCATATGAAGCCTCAAGATGGCAAAGGTCGTGGCGAAGGTTGCAAAGGTGCGGCTATGGACACTCGTCACGGGTTCAGTTGAATAGCCATAGGCCTTCCGGACGATGTGCGGGCCTGTAGAGTAGGTCCGGAAGGAGTTGACGAGTTTGCTGATTGCGGCCTGCGGCATTCTGTCAATACAAACTGTTCCAAATAGTAACTCCGAGTTTCTAAAGCATGAGAAGCATAGAAGACTGAGCTAGTATCTGCTTACGAGGTAGAGAGCGTATGGTAGTAGACCATCTCCTGCTGGCGGAAGAACATAAGCTATGAGAGACATTGTGTCTACCGTCGTCTTTGCAACACTAGAAGAGGTTGAAGAAAGAGTCTCAAGGTCTCAGGTTCCCCAAATGGTGCGAACAGAAGAATAGACAGAGAAAGGAAAGGAGTGCAGTTTGAGACAACGTTGCCCAGTCTCCTGAGAGTAAGCATCGTAAGTACTGCCAAAGATTAGTTTCCATACTCGTAATAGGCACATTCTCTTGCTTCTGACACTGATCAAGAACCCACGACCAGCCATACCAGGTTTGTTCAGCTCATAGCTTGGCCCCAACATAATTTTGAAGCCGAACAGTAATGAAACGTGAGAGAGACATACTTCAATTTGGACGTTCGTTAGTATCTCGACCTAGTGCTAATACAGTTAGAGCTGATCAGACTTAAGCGAATGGAACACGCAAAACCACAACCTCAACTCCAGGAGCATCACTCTCCATCAACCGCCTCCTGAACCAGATCAACAGCACCACAGCTGAAGATCGCAATCATGGCTGACGCAGATTACAACCCCGAGGAAGCTGCCGGTACGTGATTATGATCTCTCCATCCTGGTGCCACCGCAAGCCCCCAAACCCATTTCATCTCTCGTGGCTAGGGAGACGATTGACTGGCGAACTTGATGGATTTCTGGGCTGCGGCTAATCGTTGGCAACACAGAACTCAAGAAGAAGAGAACCTTCCGCAAATTTTCCTACCGTGGCATCGACCTTGACCAGTACGCCGCGCTAGCTATCTGCTATACCTTTCTCCCACTAACGAATCTGCGGCCAGACTCCTCGACCTCTCTTCAGAACAACTCCGCGATGTAGTCCACGCCCGTGCTCGCCGTCGATTCAACCGTGGTCTCAAGCGCAAGCCCATGGGGCTGATCAAAAAACTCCGCAAAGCAAAGCAAGAGGCGAAGCCTAACGAGAAGCCCGATCTGGTCAAGACACATCTGCGAAACATGATTGTGGTGCCGGAGATGATTGGGTCGGTTATCGGTATCTACAGCGGCAAGGAGTTCAACCAGGTAGAAATCAAGCCGGAGATGGTAGGGTTTTACTTGGGGGAGTTCAGTATATCATAGTACGTTGCACCAGCAGCATCTACGCTTTGGTGGCTAATCTGGGATGCAGCAAACCTGTCAAGCATGGTCGGCCAGGTATCGGCGCTACTCACTCTTCTCGATTCATTCCCTTGAAGTAGACGGAGCATGGGGCGTGGGAGATAGAGATGAAGTGGAGAGGGGGAGATGCACTGTGCTTTTAGCTTGAATGGTGCAATGCAAATGGCATAAAAAACGACCGTTTTCCGAAATGGACTATTTCACGTTGAAATTGCACCGGTCTCTGCAATACTTCGCTCCTCGGCCGCGAGCGAACTTCTGCAAACCAGCCCATCTGGGAAGCCCTTGGATAATCTTGCTCTACCCTTCCGTCTTCTCTAGGTCTCCTCCCAGACGTATGGCATGCACTCCAGAAACCATTCCTTTCGTGTCACTGCTCGTTTGCATTCAGATTAGCAGATTTCAAGAGAAAAGCACTTCAGAGCGTATCGCTGGCAGGTTATACTGATCTGCATGCTATTGAAGGGCGTAAGAGCTTGAATCAACAATCCCTACCCACGATTGTCCACGCTTCTGGCTTGGGCCTCTGCTCTGTAGAAGCAGGTGTTCCTGCTATCATCACTTGACGACCCTTGATGGACTTCTGACGTTTCTGCTGACCGAGCGGACACCACGAGAGCATGTTGGACTTGACCCAGCTTTGGTTAATGGGCGCAGTTATGCGCTTACAAGCAATGGCGAGAGCAATGGATAAGCTCGCCGGAAAATGAACGGTCATGAGTAATTTTCCTTTTTCTTTTGTACCATGTTCCTATACTATACATACAGTTGAATCTTCCCCTAATCTGCCTCCTCATGCTTATTGGAAAATCTATTAAATCATCCTAACCTCGAGGTTGGTATCGAATTAACATCGAACCGAAATCACCGCAACCGCATGCAACAATATCTTAGACAGGAGTAGGTATCATCGCGTGATTGGAACAATGTCGCACCCTTCGCACAAAGATCTTGAACACATGAAGGCACATCGCAAGGGATCTATCCCAGGTAGACAACACCAACGATAGCGCAAAGCACTAAGGCGAAGTTGCTCGCTGCCACCGTGACACCGCTGCTCTTCTTTGTTGCAGATGGGCTTGTGCTGCTGCCAGTGCTGCTTGAAGTGCTCTCGCTTGAGGACGAGGATGTGGAAGATGACGAGGTGGAGGATGAGGAGGACGATTTCGACGAAGTAGCGTGTAGCTTAGCGGTGCTCATGGTCGAGCTCGTGGTCGAGTTCGTGGTCGAATTGGTGCCGGGCATGGTCATGTTCGCCATGCTACCTGTGCCCATTGTCGAGTTCATGCTTGAACCGGTGGTAGTTGAATTGCCTAAGGAACCAGCGGCACCCGTGGAATTGCTGCTTGATTTGGATCCAGGAGCGACGATAGGAGTAACGACGCCGCTCTTTGAGCTAGAGGAGGCAGTTGAGGAGGGCGAAGAAGCAGTGGCAGAGCCAGTTGAGGACATTGAGGACGTTGAGGACATTGAGGACGTTGAGGACGAGGCCGTGGCGAGAGCAGCGACAGCGTCAGTGGGGCAGGTTGAGCACCCGCCGAAGAGTTGGAGCATGCCAGAGTAATTGACAGCATCCTCGCCCTGTTCGATCCTCAATGCGTAATTGCCAGCATCAGGAAGCGACTTGGGTGGGGTCCACGTGGTGGAAGTTCCTTGGTCCCCAGATGCGATTGGGGCAATTGGCACGTCCAGAAGGTTATCTGCTGGGCCTTGTTGGAGAATGATGTTCACGCCCTGAGGTAAAGTCAGTGGACTGGTGGCGTGGGGGTCAGAGCGAAGTGGCCTTACATTGCCATTACCACCTGCCCATCCGATTGATTGCTTGACACCAGCAACCAAACTGGTTGGGATGGAGGTGAAGTGAAGGCTGGTTGTTGTAGGAGATTGCGCGACAGTGGTAGCGATCAATGTGGCGCACACGAAGAGGGTTTTTGTGAGTTGCATTTTGAGAGTCCGGCGAGATTGGAGTGTGTTGATGTTGTATTAAGGTGGATGAATTGATGTTGGTGTATTACGAAAGATGTCTGGAATGAGTGACAGACGGTATGAGTGATGATGATGATGATGCTGCTGCTGCTTTTTAAATGAGTGGGTGTTTTGTTTTGTAGATGCAAAAAAAGAAAAGGAGGGGGAAAAGGGGAAGAGGAAGAGGAAGAAGAGGAAGAAGAGGAAGAAGAGGAAGAAGAGGAAGAGAAGTTGAGGCGCTGCAAACAGAGAAAAGGGACGGGAGGTGAACGAGGCTAGCGGCCGGTTGGAAATTACTTTAGCCGATCACGGAAAGTATAACCGTCCGGGGTTTCATTTTGAAGCAGCTAATCACTATGCCACCCTTGACCCTAAATACGCCTCGCTTCCACCTTCTACTCCGAAGTACTTTACACATGGGAAAATTTTCTTTAGCTTGCATACAACATCACACCCGTCCAAGTTCAAATTTATCTACCAAAATAATGCGTACAAACACCAACGGCCAGCACTCAATCCCTAATTGACTTGGGTCGTCTGCTCCGTCTTCTTTCCTAAGTTATTGACATCAATGGCATTTCATTCCGCACGCATGTGGAAAGTGTGGCACAGCCGCCATGCGCAATTGACTGCTGGAACCCCCATAGGAACAGCGGTGCGATTGCTGAGAAAGGGTCCAGCGAGGCATTGACACCAACTTAAATGCATCCAAATATATGTACATCCAATTCTCAAGTGATCCTGCGGTACATCTGGCTTTTAAGCCCTGTCCTGTCACTACTCCGGCCTCTGCAGCCCCATCCACTGCAGTATCGATGGCGCTTTCTTATCTGCTAGTAGTGCTTCTTCAACTTCTTTCCTCCGCTGTAAGATCTCACGCTCGCCTGCCATCTCTTTCAGCTTCGCTATTCTCTTTTCCTCTACTTCCACGTTCTTTTTCTCGTAATGCGCTCTCAATGCCCCAAGATCAGCGGAATGGCCAGCTGGGATGTTGTACGGAGAACCAGTGTTAAAGATCCTGATGGCCAATGCGAATTAGTCTCAAGTGCTCATTTGAAGGGGGCAAGTGACACGGCGAGAGACTATCTGGGGAGAGCTCATAGCCAGCGTTCATCTGCTCTTCTCCCCCGTCCTCCGTTATGCATTTTCCCAAGCCAAAGAAATCTCAATGTACTTACTCAGGAAACTTCAGATCGATATGATGACTCCACGGACTGCCTTGGAACAAATTCCTATCCGCGCCCGCTTGTTCCACCATCTTCGTATGCATCGTATTCCGCCTTGCGTACTCATCTTGCCAGTAATTGTAGTACGCCATGGCTCGTGTAAGAAGTGGTTGTTTGCTAGGATCTCCTTTCGTGCTGGGATCGGAGGAAGACGAGCGGGAGAATTTGTAGAGAGCGAAAGAAAGCGCTAGAGCTCCGATGGATGCATAGAAACCGCGCTATCGAAAGAGATTGCAGTCAGCAGGCCAGTCTTTCATAGTAGACATACATTCAGATGGTAAGAGAAGCGTCGTACACCAAGGCTTTCGTTGTGAGGTTCTGGGTGAGGTGCGTGGTGGGTTGGCTCATGTCCGCCAGCAGACGCAGCATGGACGGAGTCCGTACCGCTACTATCTCCACCCTATGAAGCATCGTTAGCAAAGCTTCTCAAGCAAGAGTCGAACTGCAAGCATACACCAATAGGCTCGGTGACGGGCTTGTTGTCGGGTTCTCGGACGGAAGTGGTGGGGTCTGGAGGTTTGGTGTCTACGTACCCACGCCATTGACAGCGATATGGACGCTGTGCAAGGCGCAAAGTACCTCTTCGTATTTGTAGCATTGTGATGGCACACCAAGGCTATCAATGCCTTATTGAAGCGAGCTCAGAGGGGGGGTGGAGGTCAAACTGAGTCAGCAGAGTTGACCAATCAGAATTTTTGATTTAACGTCTTGAAACTTCTGGAAAGTTGACAGGTAGACCTTGGAGCTGACAAGACAGCATGATTGTTAGGCGTCCATATAGATCGCAACATCCAAGAGTCTTTCATTCTTGATTTGCTAGTTACCATCCCTTTTCCCTACATACTCCCCTTTATGCTCTGTAAAATGTTCAAACATATCCCTCTTCGCGTCATCCCACCTTTCCTCCCCTTACTCCTGCTCTCCAAAGGCCACGCCTCTGCACCTGCTTCCTCTCCTCCAGCATCTACCGGACTGATATGTCACACTGCGCATGCTTCAGAATGTTACCCAGCAATCTTCCAGCCCATGGAGCACTTTCAGCGCATCCACGACGACCAGTCTATTCCTGCTGGACTACATGTACGCATGAATCTGGCGACTGGTCTCAAAGAAGCTCGTCTCAACATTCCTGAACCGCCGGGAACACCACACGCAGACCTTGTGATCATAGACGATCTGCCGCCGCGCCCAAGTATTGAGGAAGATGGACCCGTAGCGGAAGCACCAGAGCTGCAAGACCAGTCACATCCAGACACAGAGTTTGAACGTGGATCGTATTATCCAGCCTCCTTCGATGCAGAAGAGTCCTCACTCTTCTTTTCTTCGATCGCCGCAATCCACTCCACTACAGCGCTATCAACCACAGATCTCCCCACCCTTTCTGCCCTCCAAGATCTCGCCCATTCCATCCATTGGGGTGTTGCATTGGCACGGGATACCGGCGCTTGTCAAAAGTTCTTCTCTGCGATTGATCCCGGATCCACTGCGTCAGCTGAAGTCCGTTCGGCAGCTGCTTTGCTCTTGGGCACTGCCATACACAGTAACCCTGACGCACTGGACGCATTTCTGAGCCACCCATATTCGTCCGATGTCGGCATGACCCCTGTAGTTAAAGTGCTAGCCGCACTGAGGGACCCAGTGCAAAATGATGTAACGCTCAAAACGCGGACCGTATCCTTGCTCTCGCAGCTTTGCCAAAACACCGAGCAACTTCGCATTTTTGTCCAGTCCGAGGGTCTGACTACATTGTTTGACCTATTCGAACCGGAGAAAATGACTTTGGATGAGGGGAAAGACAGGATCCGCGCCAAAGCTGCAAACTTGATACATGACCGTATACTCTCCAGCCTTGGTAGCGCAAATGGTTTTGTGTCCCAGTCTGGCTCTGAAATCAGCGGATTGAAAGACCATCACGCACTTGTAAAGGGCCTGGAGCCCTGGTGCAATGCTTTTACAAAAGCTTTGAGAAAGTACAAATTTGTGGCCATGAGTGGAGAAAATGTATCGCCAGCGGCGGATGCAGCATACGAGAGTATAAAGGAAGCAAATCAGAAACTGAGAGAAGGAAACGTACAGAGTAGGATTTGTGAAAATGAATCTGAACTGTGACTGGAAAGCACTTTGCATCTCATGAAATATGAAACATGCATTTCGTCTATTGAGCTCAAGAGCAACGTGACTGCGAGCACATGAATTTGAAGGCAACATATTGGTTTCCATCATCCCGAATGCAAGACAATGATTGTGGCCCTCCGATCAAGAGTTTCCAATGACAGTTCCAAGCACCTCAGCCATGAAAGTTCTGCTGTGTCCAGCGCGAAGCTGATTTTCTCCACGACTTCGACGAAAAAGAAAATGGCCGGGTGGCGAATCTCCGCATCGACGTAAGACGTACACGAATGTTTCTTGAATGGTTCTCCTTAAGCAGCCTCGTCAAACTGCATGTCAATCATTCCATCATGGTGACCATCTTCAGAATTCACGTCAACGTCCGCGTCTTCGTCCTCATGGATGGGGATCTGCCCTGCCTCGGCAGCCATATCAGCCTTCCCTTTCTTCGCCTTCGCAGGCCCAGTAGGCTTCGCTGCCGCCTTTCCTTTACCATGCGCTGCAGCGACGTTGCTTTTGCCCTTTCCTTTTGATTTGGTCGTCGGCACTTTCTCCTCGTCCTCGCTTACCGCCTCCTCGTCTTCGCTGCCAGAATACAATTTAGCGTTGGATTTCTTCACCACCTTGGCCGTTCCTTTCTTCACCACCTGCGCACATTTCCGAGTTAGTTCTGCTTTTCAAAGGCACAACTCAGACTCGCAAGACAGGTCTCGGGAATAGAAAGAGCCTTCTCCCCCGGGACAATGTCTTGCAATTCAGAGTTCGGCACTAAGAAAGAAGGTATTACTCTGAAATATACGAACCTTGGCTTTCTTGACAGGGGCCTCCGTGCGTTCGTGCTCGGCATCTGCAGATTTCTCCGAGGCAGCACGCTTCTTGGTGCCCTTGGTCGCAGTGGCTTTCCCTTTGGTAGGAGGTGGTAGCATTTCGCCGTTAATGCCGCTCTGTAACATGTTAGTCATGTCAAGTATAAAGCAGTTCTGGAGATTACCATCTCGTCGGATTCTTGCTTGATCGCTCCAGCTTCCTCGTCGATATCATCTTCCTCATCTTCAACACCAGCTTGCTTGACAGGCCCTTCATCTTTGCCATTGGCACCCTTCTTGGCTGGAGCACGCGGCTTCTTGGTAGTAGCGCCTCCTGCGTTGGCAGTTCCTAGAGTCCCAGCATTTTCGGGATTTTCAGCGGCAATCTCGCGCCCCTTCTGCCTCCATTTGCGGAACTTATGCTCGAGAGAGGATTCAGTGCGACCAAGCTCGTCCATGGCTGCCATCTTCTTGAAGCTGATAGCCGGGTTGCCGATGGTAGCGAAGAGGAGTGGCATGATGGAGTCTGCATCGTTACCGGCGTTTACAGGGGCTCTGCCGCCCTTGCCTTTCGGGCTGGCCTCTGTAGACATGGTTGCTGATAAGAAACGAGAAATCTGTGAAAGCAACGCTCATGAGAGTCAGCCGATAATAGTTGATGGAAATATCAATGCTACGTGGCGTGAGTGGAGTATTAGAGAGATGCAAATCGAGCTAGTAGATGCGTCAATGGGACGCTGCAAAGGTATTGTGGTAGCAAAGTCAATCCGATTGTCTACACAAGACCGCAGCGTTTAGTTGAACAGATGTTTCTTGCGAAACACATGGCCGTCGTGATGGCAGCGAACGTAATCATGGTAACGGCGGAAATGATAAGATGTCTGTCAAGTCCTGCTGTTGAGCCCATGGACGCGCTTCGAAATTCACTAAATTTGGAAGAAAGCCTCTCGCTGTGTCATCAAGATCGCGAAAGGGATTCATGATCGCTCAAAATGATGCAGGGAGGATATACCTTGTTGAAGTGAGAAAAGGGAGGAAGCTGTGAGCTTGTTTAGAAAGGAGGACTGTCACTTTGGAACAGAAAGCGCGCTGCGTGTAGAGATGCAATTGCTTCTGCATGACGAAGCAGTTGCAAGATTGACGATTTTGAGTGTTAGGAAGGTTGCAGATGTGTAATGGTGACAGTGTTAAAGGAAGACGAAGTGATTTGACGGTACCTTTGATGATGCTGAACAGCTCGTTTGTCCGAGCTCTGGTATGTGTGTGAACTGTGTATTGTGAGCATGCAAAGCTGAGGACCTCAGATGTGGTCTACTGACGTTTGATATGATGCTTTTGGCACCGAGAGTATTTGCTGACCGATGAGATGCTTGGTGAGATGTAAGAAGAAAGAAGAGGGAACAGTGAGTGCGATGATGTTGAGGCTCAAAGGCTTCGCGGAGGAATTTATTTGAAGGGCGTGACGATCACTTTCCCATCACCACATGGAAAAAGATGCTCAAAGAATAAGGGCGAGCACCCAGCAAGTTTCTCAAGTATTCTATCAGAACAGTATGGGCTTTTGGAACAGTGTGCTAGGAGGTTGGAAGCCTTCTTGCAATAGTGTTGAGTTTTCATGCTTCTGTTTCTACGAGTAGCCCCGTCCATTTTCACCGCTCCTACCCCATGCAAGTGTTCCCTTCCCTATATCCAAGTCACAGCAGGTCACATGAGGATGGAGGATCTTCGGTCAGGTCGTACCTTCACTCTACAAAGGCTTCTTTCCCCCGCTGTCATCCACCATGATGGCATCATACCCGTGGGAAACCGAAGGTCATTTAGTTATCGTGCGGGTGTTATTAGTAATACATGATACATGCACCCTTTCCCATGTCGTCCACATATTCAGGGGACAAGGCCGCCGCCAATGCGGTCTTCTTCCCCTTTTTATCCGACTTCGATCTGATGATTGGGCCCTTGGCTGGCGAATCTGATGCCTCTTCGCCAGCTTCCCGCTCCTGGGTTTTGGCGAGAAGACCTTTGATGTACAATTTCCTCTGGCTGATCCCCCGTTCTAGGATGTTATTGACGTTGGTAACGTCGTGTCTGAGCTACTTGGCACCTTTTCCGACCTTCAGCCCGTATTGATTGGGGAAGTGCATATGGTAAGTAACTCCTGTGGACGGCGCTGGCTTGGGATCTGTCCAACGCACGAAGAGGTTGGCAGGGAAAGGTACCATTGCCACTAAGAATGCAAAGCAACCATGAACATTCTTCTGCAAACAAGATTATTTCGCGCCTAAAGTCCGAATCTTACTTGGATATCTTCGACAACGCGACCCCAGCGAGCCTAGTCAATGCTTTGGAGTGGTTGGAGTGTGAAAAATGCATCTGAGGGTATCTATCTCTTTGTTACGTGCGATCCCCCGATGAATGTTTCTGATAGCCTTGGTCTTTAGCCCCTAAACACAACTGAGAACGGTAAGGCTCTTTCCCTGCAGCATTCACAGGACTTTATCTGCAACCCTGTAAATACATTACAAAAGTGTTCGAATTTTTTAGAACGATCAGACTGTCGCGTGAGACTCAGAAGCCGCCAAGCTTGCGCATGACCCTCTCCTCCCAAGTCATCCTATTCCCTAAAGAGAGAAGAAACGCCGTAAGTACCGATTGCGCCGGCCACTTGATCTCGAGTACTCCAATCTCTTATGCCTTTTCCATTATCCAGCTGCTGCCACGACTTGGCCTGCTTGGCTGTTCTTCATCTGCTCGCCCTCGACTTCGACGGGCGGGGAAGGTGCAGACGAAGGTGTGGGTTTTGACTCTTTGGGATGTTGTACGCCATTTGGAGCTGGGGCTGGGCTCGGCTTTCTCTCTGAAGCTAAGACTTGTGGCCGCCACTTTGCAAGATGCTTCGCGGTAGGAGCTTTGGCGTCATCGTCTGAAATGTATTAGCAAAAGGCGTGGAGGGGCCGATGTACGAAGACTTACAGTTCCGCCACAGATCCTCTAGCGCATCAATAGCTATGTCACGGGCTGGTGGTTTCATCAGGATCAAGTAGCTAAAACGCTGTTAGAGAATTGTTGAAACACAACGTCAACAGCAGGATGGACCTACAGTAGGGAGTTCACCGCCAATTGAACTCTCTCCGGATCCCTCGCGAGCCCTTTGACACGGCCCAGCACATTTGCGTTGATTTCTGGGATCTCTGACAGGAATTTGATCAAGTGCTTATCCTTCGCATCCAAGTATGGCACAATCCCGTCTAGAACCCTGAGCATCCATTTCCCGTAGTGCTGCTTTGGCTTTGGCAGAGTCACTCCGTCCTTCTGCTGCTCGCTGCTTTGTTTCTGTATTCGGTCATTATACCATTCTTCATTCAGCCATGCAATTGCTACCGGTATCCTGGTCCGAAAGTCCTCGATGATGAACTTCCAAAGTGTTTGCCGGATCCCATCGCTCAAGCTGGAACCTGTCACCTGTTTCTCGACCATTGTTTTAGAGTCATCGTCTTCACTGCTGTCATCATCTAGCCCAGCAGAAGCGCGTGTCGCCAGTCTTGTGATGACCGTGGTCCAAGCCTCTTTGTCGTAACTACTTCCCGCCAGCCTGTTCAACCCCGATCTCTGCTTCTTGGCTAAAGGAGCTTCTTCTAGAACATTCATCATGCTAAAAACCCGGCTGATGGTCCCTTTCCCTATTTGCATGGTATCCTCAGCGGTTAAGGGCGGAGGTTGCGGAAGCTTGAACGGCCCAAGAGCAACTTCCGAGGGAGACTGCAGCGGGTCTTCAGGTGGTAGAGCATCTGCTTTGTTGATGATTTGCTCTCTATCCTCGCTGGGCTCAAAGTCAGGCTCATAATCCTCTTCATCGTCGCCAAGAGCTTGTGGTGGTGGCTTGGTAAGCGATAGGTAGCGAGCTCGGACGTGGTTCAGAGCTTGGTCCAGAGCTTGTTGATCAATGCGCACGAGGACTGGTGGGATGATCCTGACCATTATATCTAGGGTCAGTGATGTTACGTCGAAAGTTGCCAGAGCCGGATCCTTTGTCAGTGTGAACAGCTGACCGAGACTAACGGGACCAGGTGGGAGAGGTTCAGGCTCTGGCCGCTCAAGCAGTTCCGCTCCGAGACGTCGTCGTTTGTTATTATCGAGACCGTCAGTGGGTTCGCTAGGCAGTCCTCTCTTCCGACTTCCTTCATCAAAGACATCCAAGCGGATTCGCGCAAGACGGTCCACGTATGCCTTAATTCGATCTACAAATGGACCGTTCTCATTTCTGATACCCTGTCAATATCGTTGATTTCTCAACCCGTGTGGATAAAACGCATGCATACCTTCGGAGAACATTCATAAGCAACGCCCTTGTCGTACGCTCCATAGACTTGATCTGGACCCTGACTTTGGGAGTCATGGGCGAGTTGGCTTGTTTCATTGGATTGAAGGTCAAGATTGCGGAAATGATTTTGTTGGCAATGGACTGGCGAGTGCGGAGGAGTGTGCCAAGGCAATTGAGGGTTGCGTTGATAAGAACGGCATCACTGGAGGCATAGCATCAGGGCTGAGACTTAGAAAATCTACGTGCGTTACGGTACGTACCTCTTGTCCTCGTTGAACGCATTGAGAAGTCTATCCAGCAGTCCTGATGCTTCAGGCTCCAGTCTTGGGGGTGGTATCAATGGATGATCTCGCGGGACTAAAGCAATGGAGACCTCGTTCTGATCCGGACGCTGTAGAGTTGTATCAGTAGCTTGCTCTACGCTGGGAGCCGTTGATATGTCACACACCCTTGGGTCTGCGATTACACCTGGTGTCTGCACCTGGACGACCTTTTGTACAAACTTGATGCAGCATATTCGGACTCCCGTAGCAGCAGTGTCCCATCTCTTCAATATATTCGACTTGATCGACGCCATTTGATTCCATACTGGCACATCGTGCGGGTTCGCAATGCTGAGAACAGAAAAAGGTAAGACAACATTCCCCTCGACCGCAGAGTCTCATGAATCTACGTATAGGATATACCAGTGCCTGGCTACGGGGCGGGAAGAGGGGTTGCACGTACATGTAGCGGAACACTAGGCAGTATATGCTTGCTGCAGTCTGCACGACACTCTTGACCACTGCAGCATCCTCCGACGGTTTCTCCAGCAAATCCTTCAGTATTTGGAGAACCCCAACAGCCGAATTCTCCTTCTGGTACGATGCAAATGTAGGGCTAGCAAAGGTCTCGGCAAGGAACTCAGCACCCCATCTTCGTAGCTCGAGTCGAGCATTTGCCCCAACGATGGGCAGGATACCTTGTACGATTTGAGGGTAGAGACCGGCATCCGCGAGGACGATTTGACGCGCAGCTTCGAGTTGAGCAAGCTGATCAGGTACAGAGAGCGTCATGGTGATCCTTTCAAATCGCAATTGATGTGTGCGGTTGTGATTACCCGAATTGTCGAACGTGTGCTACAAGGGAAAGATGTGGAAGCCCAGTAAGGGAAGAATGACAGCTAGCTAAGACACCATGACAGGGATATAGGACATGGAGGTATCCTGGACACCGATGATGAGCTCAATGAGACAGCGTGTCTTGTTCAGTGTCAAAGTATCTACGATGTCAAAGGGGGTTGGGTGTTGTAGTAGTGTTGTAAGGCAAGAAGGAAAGAAAGTCGAAGCTCTCAAAGTTCATGCACAATCTGTCAAAAGCACGCTAGCAAGCTTCCCGCAAGCAAGGGCCTCAATGATGACCTTTCCCCAATCGTCAACTACCTTACATTAATCACAATGGCCATGTAAGAGATAAATCCTTGTCGTCCAATTACTATACTGACCAGCTTCGTCAAGTCTACCCCGCTCGTCTTACTACGACAAGCATTACCGCCCAGCAGCTTCCTTGATTCGTGCTCGCCAACCCTACCTGATCCGCAACATGGTCACTGGTCTTGCTCTTTGCGCTTTCACTATTGGTGTTTGTACGTTGTGCTTCTATCCTACGCAAAAAATAAGAGCGATGCTGATTGTACAGACTCGTGGACAATCAACGCTGTAGCTCAAGACGACTTCTCCGACGTGCCAATTCCGGACGCCCCAGCACAGTCGCCACATTCACCGCATACTGGGCTTGAGAAATCCGTCAGTGCCGCTGCATTGGACGAGCAGAAAGAGAAGAGGTTGAAGTCATGAGAAGCGTAAAAAAAGGAAGAAGCAAGGATCATACGAGACCATCCGGACGTTGCGAAAGGCTGGTTGGCGAAGCGCAAAGAAAGTGACCCCAGATGGTATATGCGGACAGTGATACTGGTGTATCTTCGTGCCGTTAAATGAGAAGTGCAATTTTTGGAATTAAAGAAGGATGGTGTAGCGCCAGCTATGATACATTTCACTCTAGGCGCATCGAGGGTTTCTCGACAGCAACGAGCAGGAAGCAGGCACAATTAGATCTGTAACGAGCAACGGGCCTTTTATTGAATTGAAGTGGAAGGGTTTCGATCATTGATGTTAAATGTCAGATATACTGTTCCAAACTACGTCACATTATCACAAACGCGTCTCACTTCTCAGTCCACAATAACCTTGCATTGCCGACAGGGTATCAAATTCTCTTCTGTTACAGTGACGTCCCGCACCTCCAATTTTTGAGCCAGTTCCTTACGTACACAATTCTCCGAATTATGGTTGGTTCTGTCTATATATTAAAACACAGCCAGTATCCCCAAGACTACCGCTAATAGGCCATTATTGACGCGGAGTACAGTTCCTGCATTTGCGCCTTTCGAAGAACCAGTTGGGGTGCTCGTACTGATAGTAGGTGCAGAGGTTCCGCTCGCTGACGATGCTGATCTGGTTGCACCTGATGTAGACGAGCTGGAAGCTGATTTGCTAGTGGACGCATGGCTTGTAGCAGAGGTCTCAGAATTGAGGGTGGTTGTGCTGGTATCGATGGAAGAAGAAGCAGAGGAGTAGGAACCAGAGCTTGATGCGGTGGTCGTCAGGGTAGACGGCGAGGGGCTAGCAGATCCAACAGATTTGGAGCCATTTACAGTAATATCGTCGCTGTAGTTGGCGTCACTCGCGTTGCTGTCCGAAGAAATCTCAATGGTATATGCTCCGCTAGCAGTACCAGCGGGAACTGTAAAAGTGTAGGAGCCGGAGTTGGCGATTCCAGCTGTAGATAAACTGTTAGTGCTGTGCAATTCAGGAATGAGGACAACATGCGGAAGTACTCACAAGCGAGCACGATTCCCTTGTTCAAGTCGCTTGTAGGACCGTTGCGCAATGTCAGAGTTACAGTACCAGAGGTCGTAGGAGTCCACGTGAACGTGGATGAGGTGCCAGCCGTGACAGTGAAGCCTGGCAGAGTCGTGGGAGGGTTCGACGTGGGTCCAGACTGCGCGGCGACAGCTGCGAGCAGGCATGCGATCAGAGAGAGTGGAGCGACGCGCATTTTGAATATTGCGACAGAATGCTTTGTGTATTCAGGAGACGCGACTAAATGAAGGAGAGAGGGGGAAGAGTACACTGGGCCAGATTGAAAGGAAATGGGAAAGGCGCCGATGCGGGAGCGATATCTGATGCAGACGTAGATACGAAAAAAGAACAGCACTTTGAGAGGCAATGATGTTGAGGTGAGCTGGTGAGAAATGAAATCGTACTCGTGGAGGAGCTGAATTAAATGAGCTGGACCCTGAAACCTGGGGATCGTGGCTTTGCCCGGCCCCCAATCATGGCTCTAGAACAAAGTCGAAATAGTCATTGAATACGACAACAGTCAGCGCCTACACATACACAGAGAGGATGTGAATGGTCGAATAAAGGGCATTTGAGGCTAGTCATGTACCTCCAATGCGATGATTCGTAGAAGATTTGGAAAGGCATAGCTCCAGGTCTTCATCCTCCTAGTCGCCCTTCAGCTGGCCACCAAGATGAGCACGATAGGAAGCACGAGAAGAGCAAGCATTGGAGCTGTGCTGGTGGAGAAGCTCGGGCAGGTCTGAATGGCAGCCGGGCGACGCTGCAGGCACGCCCTGCCACTCTGGAGGCTTTTTGACCGCCAAAAAGGTCTGTGAGGAGGATGAATGTTGACAATGAACGTACACTAACCCGAGCTTCAGCGTCGAACGAGCCGTATGCAAGATCGGGGGCATCAAAGGTTATCTCCTCGTATGAGCAAGCCTGGGTGGTGGGATCTGGGCCCAATCCGGATTCCATGCGAGTCTATCTCGACTGCTCTGCCTCGAGTGCGTCAAGCTGCTGGCGGTAGCAGATTAGCCAATTCTAGCCACGCATTGCACGCAGCTTATGCAGCTTTACGCAGCTTTACGCAGCTTCATCAAAAGCAAGTTCTGCAAACAGAATGGTTAGATGTCGAGGGAAAGTGAAAATTTGAGAGACTGAGTTTTAGCCGACCCGAGCCGGGAAAAGAGGTGGCTCTTTCTTCCTTCTCTTTTCGAGTACTCCACTCTATGTGTTCTCCAAAGACTGCTGGTAATTAATAACGGATACTCTACATGATCAATACCATGGTCACTCTGGCCGAATATGATAGGGGCAATGGCAATGGACCCATGTACCAGTGAAGCTTACTCTCTATGAACATGAGTCTTGCATCAAATGAAGCAGCGTGGCACCTTTAACCGAATCTCCTCTAAGATTGGCCAAGCATGAGCCAATCATTCTCCTTTGGCTTTGGGAGCGATGACATTGAAGAGAATGGAGGTGAGATGGCCGATGTTGGGCCCTTGTCTTTGCATGACACCCGGGAAAATAAGCCTGTTGCTGTCACGGAGCCCAAATTGCACAAGCTTCAAGATCTGGTACGGAAACGTTACTCTTCACTCCCTTAGTTTCGCAAGCGCACTCTTCCTTCCTCTTTCCTCACACGAATCTTCATGGCTTTGGTTTACTACCGTGCTTTGGGCTGCGCAGCTACTTTCACCGTGCACAGTCTTAGAAGAACCTAGACTCCAATCACTGATACCTTCAGTATCGATGGCATCATACTGCATGCTTACAACACATGCAAATTGTTTGCAATGCCTTGTCCCTTCTTCCCTTCAAATTCCTACAATTGCCGCCTGTATAATCTGACCACTGCAGCTTTCTGCTCTTCCCTCCAAGATCTCTTACCGTACAGTCCAAATTCGATCTCCCGCCGGCATACTCAATGTACCTCGGCGCGAGCTTTTTGATATACGAGCACAGCTGATGGCCGAAGATGAGATCTCTGATCAGTCCAGCCCAGTGGTCGGTCTTTCGACTGATGACATTACGCCAAATGTTTACGAGGGAGGTTTCAAGACTTGGGAATGTGCTGTAGACCTTGCTGGTCATCTATTCGGAAGTCTCAGCAAGGGTTGGGAATTGGGAGGGCGAGTTGTGCATGTCGTCGAGGTACTTTACGCTCTGCTCGATTTGGCTCTGTGTCCAATCAATACTTACTAAATTCTCCCGTGACAGGTGGGCGCAGGCACAGCTCTTCCAATTCTCGTGTTCTTCGACTTCTTCCTCAAACAATTGTCACCCTCGTGGCGTGCCGTTCATCTGTCGGTCGCTGACTACAACCTGTCAGTCCTGGCAAATGCTACCCTACCTAACCTGTTACTCACCTGGTACTTTGTACAGTCCCCAGCGATCCCCGAACCTGCAGGCGATCTCGAGATAACCCCGGACCTCCTTTCACGGTTCGTCAAGGACCTTTCGGACAAAGTCATACATATATCAGGCATTTCAGGAACTTGGAACGAAGCGTTCACTGATCTCCTCCTGCCAGTCGAGGATCCTCAACGTCGGAGTCGAATCGAGACCATCTTCCTAGCGAGCGAGACAATTTATTCGCCTAATTCGATACATGCTTTCACTCAGGTCCTTCTCAAGGCCTTGAAAAGCGCCGAGGAGACACATGGGCATGGAAGAGCATTGGTCGCGGCAAAGAAAATTTATTTCGGTGTCGGTGGTGGTGTTGATGAGTTCCTCAAGGTTTTGAACGAGCTGGGTGGCAAGGGAGCCACGGCCTGGGAGTCCAAGGACGAAGGCGTTGGCAGGGTCATAGTGGAGGTCCAGAGCGCCGGTGGCAATGCAGCCAAACGGTGAGGCTTGAGCTTTGCGGTTAGAATGAAGCAGCTCATCCATATAGAATGTGTACGTTCGCACTACCTCTAGCTCCTTTGACCACAATGTGGAACCCAGCTTGGCTCTGATACTGCCACTTCTTGTCTCCCCCTTACATTGTATAATTCAGTAGAAGGACTGGCGGGCATTGCTTTTTATAGCATCATCCACCAACTGTTGGCATTGTCAGGTCTCATCATAGTGAAGTCGTTCTCGTCTTTCTGAAGCTATGCTGCAAGTATTTCGTCTATCGGCCCAAGCAGGACTATCTTTCTACTAGGCCTGCACACACCGATAGTCATCTTAGGCTTATGCCGCGTACCATTCATGGCCTTGTAATAGATTCTGTGTCTAATGCTTGCATCCGATCCGAACGGGTCGCTTATTCTGATTGGGCGCATGAGAAAACGCGGGTAACTCTTGAGACATATCATATACCTGAACTTGTTAATCCAACGAAGAGCAAATTTGGCCACTGGCAGACCTCGAGTCTGAGACTTTTGTGTATACAGTATAACAGGCAGGTCCCCTACCGCCGATGATTGCTACCTGAGAATCTTGTATTTGCAGACTTGCCTTGTTTCCCTTCTCTGACACCGACCATTGCGTTTTCTCGGCAATATGAAGTATTTTAGGCGATTCGCGATGCCATCCATCCTTCGAGACCCTGATAGGATAGCATCTTACAGTTGCGAAGCGCAAAGAAGTCTATTCGTGGAAATGGCAGTGGAGGAGCTTGATGACACCCTCTCGTTCTAGCAATTCCCTCAATTTTGGCGAGCCATTCCTTCAGTAAGATTCCTTTCACCCGTCGATTTCATGAAGCATTCTCGCGCTTTCCGCTTGTGGTCTACTAAGTAAGGAGGAGGGACAATTTTCAAGGCCACAAGACCGCTTGTCTTTCTTACCCGTCGTTCTTTGTTGTTCGCTAATCTCTTCTTATACCATTCATCCTGCATCAGCGGTCTTTCCCTGGGCACTTCTGTAAAATAGAGCCATGAACTCTTCGAGGAAAAGCCTTACCAGCCTCCTAGCACCCATCTGCTTCTGCATTCTCTTATTCCTCCTCACTCCGACGACTATCGCCACGCCGGCACCCGTGCCAGCGCCCGCCAACGGTGACCCATGTGGTCCAACGGTCCAAGACAATCCGAACTATGCAGACACCTGCTCCGTTGCGCCCGTTCTTGTCAAGAGCCCTCAACCTTACGGCGTAAACTGCACGGCCGTCACGCCAATCGAAGGTCCCGAGTCTGTATCGTGGGGGAATTGCAGTGCCTCGTTCCAAGATGTCTGCGAAAAAGCAATCGACACGCGTACTCGCCCCGGAGTCTGGATTTGGAGCGACCTGGCACTGGGCTGCGCCGTCGGTTTCTTCTTACCACCTTATCAGGGCGCTGCATCTTTACAGAATAATACGAGATGCATAGAAATATTCACAGCTATGAACGACAGTTGCTCGACCAGTGTGCCTGCGAGCAATTTTGGTGGTGTCAATTTGAGAACGCTGCCGGGTCATCCACCATCGATTGTTAATGGGCAGGCGGTCTATGACGGGTACCCGTACAATGATATCACTTTCTATGGGAATGCAGTGAATGTGGGATATCCGAGCTATGCCATAACTTATACGCCAACGACGAATCCGGATGCTTAGGGAGAAGACGGGGGCGTGAGCATGAGTGGAATAGATTTGTGGCGTGACGGATCGGACCTGATAATCTTTGGAGTAAGTGGCTCGCTGTTCGTACACGTCGTGGGGCTGTCGTTGGGCAGGGTCGTAGGTCGCTGGGAGAGCTGTGCCTTTGTAAGCTTTACAGTATCAGAGGAGTTGAGCCTTTGACCAATTTCATTGAGCAGATTCGTAACACCTCAAATATTCAATTTCCTTCCTCCTTTTCCCTTGTCAATGTCCCAGAGACTTTGGTTCTATTCTTAAGGAACAGGCCCGCTTTACCGCTCTTTCAGTCCCAATTGTCATACATATGATCTTCCGAACGACTTCCCTTCTTGCCGAATGCTCGAGGTCATGTTCCTTAGATCTCTGACATGATGCCTCAAGGATCTGTGCGTTCTCCCGATTCTTGCTTTCATGCTTGTAATAAACACAATTGACTCGAGCCTTCAAAAAAACCACCGATTGTCTCCAATGTTGAAGTCCATCACTGTCACATGTATGACCCGAGTCACGAAAAGCATACTGGTCCTGATAAAGATTACACTAAACTTCCCTCATACCGGATTCCCCTCACACTGAGCATGAAGTCGGCGTTCACCATGCGAATTAGAACCCGTTAATTTGATGTACAAAGGATCTCGTTGACAGCCATCTCAAATCCCGTTTCAAAATCAAAGACACCATTTGAACAAAGGATGACCATAAGTTTGCAGCAGATGGCCCTTGAGGTCCACAGGATGGCAGAGTCACTCTCGTCTTCCTCCTACCACACCTTCCGACAATCGCTATTTGACCATGGAAAGTCCTCGAGAGGCTGCTGTAAGAGGTCTTGTATTGTGGCAACTAGACGGTAGATTTTATCCCGAACCTCCCAAGGCAGCTTGAAGAGGGTGCGTCTCTGTTTGATGGTCCGCCATAGTGACGGAATCTGCGTGGGTGAAGGTCGTCGGTAATGATTAAGTGACCGAGGGACTCATTGCTTAAACAGAAGTCGCCAACAGGTTGCTGACGGGGCAACAAAGCGCTCGAGGTGAGGTGAAGATGGGTGTGTCAGAGCCACATGATGTATGTTGCTACAGAGTTATATATGATCTATCATAATTATCAGATTGGGAGTGTGAGTGGCATCATGACCGAGGCTCCACCGTCAACGACCATGTTAGCGCCAGTCATGTAGCTGCTGAAACCGCTGGCTAGAAAGCCAGCTACTCTCGCAACTTCGCTTGGCGACCCCGCACGCTCAAGGCCAATATGCTCCTTCTGTGACTCAGGCGATTGCAGGTTTGCAGGAGGTAATTGAGATTTCATGCCCCGCATGTCGAACCCCTTCAAATCTATACCGACATCAATCTGACCTGGTGATATGCAATTGATGCGAACGCCAGAACCTTTGAGGACGGCCACGCCGGCCTGCACAACTCCCAATGCTGCGTGAGAACTCATCGTGTAGCAAGGGCCCCAGCATCCCCCATACGTCGAGGCTACGGAGCTGACAACGATGATGCTTCCATATTTCTGATCTTTCGGCGCAGCATTGGGGTAGTTGCCCTTGCTCGCCAGCTTTCCCATAGCAGCAGGTGCATATTTCAATGCGAAGAACGGCGCTAGACTGTTCGCCTCGAAGCACTTCTGGAGATCGGAAGGCGTTGTCATGTCAATTGACGGGGGACCCAGCAGGCCGGAACTGCTGACCCAGACATCGAGTCTCCCCCAGGAGTTTAAGATGTCATCGATCAGGGTCAGGGTTGCTTGCTCGTCGGCTGCAATCAAAGGGTACGGTATTATCTTGGTGTTGGGGTGGGTTTCGCTGAGGGTGGAGGCTATGTCGGAGGTGTCTTCGTTGGTAGTTCTGGTACAGGCATAGATGCAAGCTGCCCCATGCGCTGTGGTAGCGTCACGTCAGCTCTTGTCAAAGCTGAGTCCAGCTGCTGTCTTACCAGCGAGCTCGCCAACGATTGCCTGGCCAATTGACTGCGTTGCCCCTGTGACGACGCAGACGAAGCCGTACAATTTGCCATCTGAGCGATAGGGAGAAAAATGGGAGGAGTCATTTAGGTCGGGCATGGTCAATGTTCCGGATGGAGAAGCTGACTGGGTTGGGGCTTTTGGAAGGAGAGGTAGGCGAATGGACATGGACCAGATGGGCTTGATGGGCTTGCCGGGCTTGCCGAAGGTTCGAAAGAAGACATGCCGAGGGCGAATTTAGGGAGAGCCAGCTGGGTCTAAAGCAGTAATGCTCTTTACTCTCTAGAGACTGGATGGCCAATCAATAGAATGGCATTTTAGAAGCTTCATGGTAGTTGTCGACAGCGTCTCCGCGGTTCAACTTTGGCTCCTTGGAGCTGCACTTCCGACTTCCTTACCCCTAATTTCTGGATCATTGAGAAACGAAAAAGTTCCCACAAGCCCCCCCCCCCCCCTCGAAAATTGAAAATTGAAACTTTAGGAATAACTTCATAACGATAGATTATAATTCTTTAAAAAGTTTATGATTGTTAGAAGATGTTATTTAGATGAAGACTCTCAGATTTTAATATACTCTAATTATCCACTATACGATAAAATAGAAATCTATTAAATTCTCGAGATTTATTAAGAAAGTGTTACGTTTCCGTGAACTTGGCATAGCTTAGTCTAGCGTGACTTGGCGTCGTGTAACTACTTTCTTCGTTCCTCTCGTAGCTTTCTAGAGGAATCAATCAATCAATCAGAACCATACAAAGAAACACCTTTCTTCTTCGTGAAACTCCTTTCCCGGAGTACATGCATGCTTCTCATACCTGTAATCTTAATAGAAAGTCTTAAGATTAACGGTTATAGAATAGTCGAGGTAACTTTTCAACGTAGAATAAAGATTCTTAATATATATTAATAAGATTTTTATAATTTGTTATTTAGTATTTAATATTATAAGTAAAAGTAATAGAAATTATAGATTACAAAGAATAGTGGTTGTAAAGCTATTCAAGAAATCGGTATCGGCGGGGCCTGCGATAATCCTTAAGGGCCGAGAGGCCTTGGCGTGCCAAGTCTGTCCTTTCCTCTTCGAATGAATGAGGGAATGTCGATTGGTGCTGCCATTATGCCATCCATTATAATACCAAGTATTATGCAATAATCGAATCAGAGCCATTGCATTTCAGGAGACCGCAAAAAGACCAGGTTCTTTGCTTCATGACTGACCCAATCTTTCCTTCTCTGACACTTTCTTTTCTTGCAGCCACAGCCGTGCTTTTCTGATCTCAGCCTGCGTGCTTGTGGTATCATGAGACATGCTTTGAATCGCACCAAACCGAATCTATGAATGACCGCAATACGCTAAGCGTTTATGAATAGCATGAGTTGCGACAAGAGACCGTCTCTGGGGAACTTCGAGAACTCCTGTCGAAGCACCATCGGACCGAACAGGAAGCTGTAAACAGGAAGACCCGACTTCAGTTGAACAAGATGCGCTACTGTGACATCGGCCATAAGCTAATTCAGTCTTTTTCGACTGAAGCATTTCCTATTTCGTCCCTACGGCCTCCATTGTTGCCTATTGAAGCTAGGTCAATCTTTCTTTGCATCAAGGTGCTCGCTTTAAGCTACGAAGAGGCCGCACCCAGCTCATAAGCTTGCCCTTGGATGCGATGACTGCCCAGCACACCATTTGTTTTCGATCAAGCTCATCCGAGTCTCACGTCTCGGCAGCACTTTTGATTGACAGCTTCACGCCAGATAGACTCACACAGAGGAGACTGAAAGTCAAGGGAGAAACCAACGTCTTAGTCAAGGCACAAGGAAGAGAAATTCGGAGGTTTGTCATGGATCAGTATCGGCACCCGAACAGACCTCAAAGATGCAAAGAAAAAGGATTCGCAGCCATCAGGGCTGCGACTCTCTGAGTGGAGCTGACATTTACGTCACATATAGCTCGCCAACAAGATGCGATACGACCGACTTACCCGACTTAGCCTTCGTCGGGACCTCTTACGGTCCATGGCCTCGTTCTAATGGCATCTACGACAGTGTCTGGACCGATATACAACCTGTAGAGCAAGATGGGTACTACAGTTTAGACTATCGTAGTCCTTACAGCTAATTCCAATCTGCTGAAAGAGCTGATGCGCTGCAAACGAATGAGAAGATCCAATTCCGACCGCAACAGGTCCTGAGGAATGGAGGCTAGATAGAATTATCATTCCAATGGCCCATATCCTCATTTCGCAACCAGAATTTTCAGCTCCCGAGGAATGAAGGCTGTTTTCCGAACGCGATGTTTACATTTCGAATTGGCTTATAAATACCCCACGACGCGTTATTCTCCTGAGCTTTTGTTTTCATTCTGCGTGAGATGAAGATTCCCCCTTTGCCGAAACATTTCAACTCAAGAGGCACCATGGCACTAGCCATTCTAGTCGTTCTTTACACGTATCTTGGTTTGGCTGCTGCGCTTTCAAAGGAGGAATGGCGGTCTCAGTCGATCTACCAGCTTCTTACCGACCGCTATGCTCAAACCAACGGAAGCACGGCGCCTTGCGGTAATCTCGGAGATTATTGCGGTGGCTCATGGCAAGGAATAACCAACAACCTCGACTACATCCAGGACATGGGCTTCACAGCTATCTGGATATCGCCTATCACAGAGCAAATACCAGGCATCACCTATGAAGGGGCGGCTTACCATGGATTCTGGCCACAACAGATCAACCAGGTCAACTCGAATTTCGGGACTGCAGCGGACTTGAAGGACTTGTCCAATGCCCTGCACGAGAGAGGCATGGTATGTTGGTCAATCATTCCAAGAAGGGAAGGCGCTGATGTGGCTTAGTATCTTATGGTTGACATGGTTACGAACGACATGGCTTGGAACGGCAACTACACCACCGTCGACTACTCTATATACGACGTTTTCAATGACTCAAGTTATTACCACACGTACTGTCCCATCACCGATTACCAGAATTCAAGCAACGCGGTGGAATGTTGGTCGGGTGATCAGCATATCTCGCTTCCTGATTTGGCAACGGAAAATAGCGTTGTTCTGAGCAAATGGGAAGCGTGGGTCTCAAATATTACTAAGACCTATGGCATTGACGGCATTCGGCTTGACGCTTGTCTTGAACAAAACCAACAGTTTTTTACGTCCTTCGAAGCGGCCGCCGGAATGTACATTATATGTGAAGTCTACGACTACCCTATACCTAAGGTTTGCGATTACCAGAATTACGTGAGTGGATTGCTCAACTTTCCCGTATGGTATTTGATCACCGATGCCTTCGGTTCCATCAGTGGCAGCATCACCAATCTGTACAACGGAATCACCGAAATGCAAGGAAATTGCACAGATGTTTCCCTTCTGGGAAATTTTGTGGAGAACCACGACGTCGATCGTCTCCCCTACACGGTAGAGGATATTGGACTGGACCAGAACGCCATTGCCTTCGCCATGCTCAACGATGGCATTCCCATCATATATGCGGGAGAAGAGCAGCATTATTCAGGAGGCTCCCCCCCTGCCGACCGAGAGACAACATGGACCTCTGGATACAATACCACCACCATCTACTATCAGCTTATCAAAAAGATCAATGCGCTCCGAGCGTGTCTAATCAATAACGACGCGACATATCTGACAACCGAATCCGTCCCTTTCTTCCTGGACACTCAAGTGCTGGCTGTTAAGAAGGGAAGCACTCCGGCGGCGCAGTTAGTTGGAGTCTACAACAATCGCGGTACTGGCGCCGCATCATATACGATCAACATGGAGAATACCGGCTGGACGGCGGGCGACCTTGTCTACGAGATATATACGGAACAGACTGTCACAGTGGCCACGGATAATACTCTTCCCGTCTATATGTATGGCGGGCAGCCTAGAATGTACTACCTTCAGTCATCGTTCCAATGTCCCTGCGCTGATAGCACCAATGTCTGCTTACCCAGCATCTCGGCGACAACCGCAACACCGACATCAACGTCCATCGTTTTACCAACTACTACCACGCCGTCCACGTCCACATCAACCGTTCTGCCCACTTCGACAATAGCTTCTTCTTCGGTAGAAACTTCAAGCTCCGTCCTGGGATCTTCCAGCTCTTCACCAGTACTTACAAGCTCTACGACAACCGCTATACCCACTTCGACAATAACAACTTCTTCGATAGAGACTTCAAGCTCTATACCGGGGTCTCCCAGCTCTTCAGCGATATCCTCAAGCTCTACGACAACCGCTATACCCACTTCGACAATAACTACTTCATCGATAGAGCCTTCAAGCTCTGTACCGGGATCTTCGAGCTCTTTACCAGTACTTTCGAGCTCTACGACAATCGCTGTACCCACTTCGACAATAGCTACTACTTCGATAGAGCCTTCAAGCTCTGTACCGGGATCTTCAAGCTCTTCAGCAATATCCTCAAGCTCTACGACAAGCTCTACAGAAGTTTCAAGCTCCGTTCCGGGATCTTCCAACTCTTCACCAGTACTTTCAAGCTCTACGACAACCGCTATACCTACTTCGACAATAGCTACTTCTTCGATAGGGACTTCAAGCTATGTACCGGGATCTTCCAGCTCTTCAGCAGTACCCTCAAGCTCTACGACAAGCTCTGCAGAAGCTTTAAGCTCCGTCCCGGGATCTTCTAGCTCTTCAGCAGTACTTCCAAGCTCTACTATTAGCTCTGCAGAAGCTTCGATCTTACCGTTTTCTTCCAGTCAAATTACATCCTCGGTCACCAGCGTTAGCGGCAATTCGTTAACTATTCCAGCGTCCGCAAGCTTGTCTGCAACTGTTTCATCCTCGGCAGCACCCGCTCCTGCAACGGCAGCACCTATATGCCCGTCTGCGGACGGAAGTACTTTCACTTCGAATGGCCAGGATTTTGTTGTAGGTTGCGGCATCGCCAGTGACCAAGCATACTTTACTCGAATTACAGGTACCGACATAGCAGACTGTGTTCATATATGCACTACGTTCACAGGAACACCAGTTTGCGAGGCGGTGACTTACAGCGACGGATTCTGTTATTTGAAATCCGACCCTGGAGCCGTCTACAATGAAGCCGGCTCGGACAGCGCCTTCGTGATCAGCACCTTGAATGGCCCTGAGACTATAGCATCCGGGTACTTATCCGGCAATATCTCACAGTCGAACCCAGCCTGTCCCGATGCCAACGGAAACACCTTCGAGTTCAACGGCTACGTCTACGTCGTGGGCTGCAGTATTGACAACTACGTCGTTGACATTTCCACGGCCCCTGGCGCCGATCTTGCCACCTGTGTGGAGAGCTGTATTTCTTTCTCGGGCACGCAGTCTTGCGCGGCTGTGACCTACAACAACGGAAGCTGCCACTTCAAAGCTTCGGTTGGGACGGTCTTCCCCGCTACTGGTGCGGAGACCGCCTTTATCATAGCGAACAACGCCACCGGCAACCCGGTAGCATTAACCCCCAGCCCACCCAGGCCAAGCCCACCGTCGCCCGGCAACCCATCTCCACCACCTAATCCCCCCGGCCCACCGTCGCCTGGCAACCCATCTCTACCATCTAATCCAAACGTATCCCCGGGCCCACTGTCACCCGGCAACCCATCCCTACCGCCTAATCCCACCGGCACGTATACGGTCTCCTATGGATATGAGATAGTTGTGTATGTGCCCCTCGAGAGCGAGTGCCCGACGGCTGGATCAATATGACAGAAGGGCAGAAAGTTCGTAACGTTGACCTTACATGGCTGAGGACCCATACTCAACGGGTAGCGCGTTTCTACAGTTGCGCTTTGCAAAGAGTCCTTCCGTTCACCACTTTAGATAGAGTTCCTACCTACCTTACCAACTATAATATATGACTGAGCTTTGCCTTTGTTGAATCTACCAGCGCTATCGTCTCTCAACCCCAACGACTCCGAGCAATAGCAGACTTAACACCATAGATCCTACGCGCACATGATAAGAGTAGCATGATCGTTATGAGCACATGACATTGGCTTTCTTGCAAGAGGCTGTCAACGCTCGAGAATGAGCCGAAATGATGACCGGGTAGTGAAGGCTAGGTACTGGGCAAACCGGACCCTCGAAATAAGTATCCTTTCGACATAGCAATCTGAAGGAAATGATTACGCACAAATTGATTCTCAGATATCCCGAACTATGACGACAAAATGACAGGTAAGATGTAGGTCTCTGATGGGGCTTCCATTTACTGCAGCCATGTACAGTCAAGACTGCTTGTTTACAGCCAGAAGCGAGGAGGGAAATGAACGGTAAGTCTTCATTGTTAACGAGAGAAGGTAGTTTTGACTCCGTCCCCACACACTTGACTTCAAAACAAAGCTCGAATTGCAGAAGAGCTTTTCGACAACAGAGTCGCATCTAAGGGGTGACTGTGATCAAAGTAAGCAGGATCGTGAATGAAAGACTTACTTACGCTACCTCGACTAAGACAGTCCTGGGCGAGACAGGAAGTCTGAAAACACACAAGGAATCTCTCTCCACGGTGACTACAGATCTCTACCACTCACACAGCCATGGGGCACCAAATAATGTAAACAGATGATCCTCCCTGGTCGCTCTCTCATTCCCAAAATCATCAGCAACGTTCGATCCCCCGGAATCCAAGCGCAACAGGGTGGATTTGACGCTCAAGCGCATCGAGACTTGGACTTCGCCTGGCGTTATTGACTTGGACAACAGCCAGCGCGTGAAGGCTACTACAACTCACCGCCGGTACTTGAAAGGCCATCATCGGCCCGAGTATTCCACATCGCAGGCCGAGACACGCTCGTCACCATCCTCATTTAGACCTGACGAGGCTGACGAGCAAGACGGTGGCATACTCGAGATCGTGCTTTTCAGCTCTGGATCTTACCTCGTTGAATTCAATGAGAGCGTTGATGTGCCTTTGGACTTGATGGGACAGATCTTTGTGCGCAGCTCGCTATTTCGCTTGGAAGCATTACTGAGTGCAGGCGTGATGGACAGTGGGTACAAAGGGGGTGTAGGAGCCATGCTGCAGGTGCTTAGATCCGCTTGGCTTGATCGTGTATCGCGATACCAGTCTCGCACAGACGGTCTCCCGCCTGATGAGTGAGCCTGTGGTTGGCTACAGCGGAACGTATCAGGGTCAGGCAAGAGTATGAGCGAAGATGTCGTCCGCCGGACCTGACTTGTTGCTTGCCTGGGTAGAGGTTACCTAATGATATTGCATGCATGACTGAGGACCAAGTGGAGATCCGAAAATCTATCGTCCCAGTGGCCTACGCATGTTGGATCGCAAGAATCGCATACACTTCAAGCAAAGTACCATCCGCCGGCAAACATCCCAGTCCCCATCACCCATATACCTCGATCTGCCTCAAGTTGGAGACCACTGGTAGAAAAAGCGGCTTCAGACATTGTCGATCTCTCCAACCAACCTCTCCATGCCATGAAGTACAGCTTTGAGACGCTCGTGTTACAAGTCGTGTATGTACAGAGTTGTCAGATATGATGTGAAGGTACCCAAACTCAGTGCCGCCATCCAACGAAGCTTTTGGCCATGCGTCCAATCTCTGGGTCTAAGTCGTACTTCTTTTCTGTTCCGCGCAGCCATGCCTTAGTCTTGTCTTGTCCAGCACAGACTCCAAGGTACAATGCACTCCGCGCACAACGCTAGGTGAGTCGTGCACCAGATGCTCGAGTGGATTTTTCCAGGCTAGTAGCTGATTGCGTACGAGGCTTTGACAGCCTGTTGCAAGCCAATCATTTGGAGAGTGCCCGGCACGTAGACTTCCCAGCTTTCCCACTTACAGCCCACATTTTGCACCATCCAATTTTTGAAGAGCCCGAATGACGTTGCCTGCGATGCGCCCCCAGAAGCTCATCCGGCAGCCCGGGAATGCGATGCAGTAGCCCTGTGGACTTAGTACCTTTCTTCACGCGAAAGGCTCATTGCTGTCGTCGCCTTCCCAGGGAGCCTGGCCCCATTGCTCAAGACCATGCACATACCCGACGAGAACAATGTCAACTAGTCCCATCTTGCGAAGGTTTGAGGGCAGTAGAGGCTGCAAGCATTCTGAGTCGGAAGGCAGGGTGTAGTGCAAACTGTCGCGCGTTTCCCCTTTCAAAGACAGATAGGCAGCGTAATGTTTCACATAATCCACACCAGGAAAGCACTGTAGCCGAAGCATCGGAGGTCGACTACGGAGGTCGTTGGGCGCTCCAGTTGAAAGATTTGTCTCTCTTCTTCGTAGGTGAGAGGCAAGCTTTCGAAGGGTTTCGTTCATGGATGCCTTTGACGACGATGCGGGCCCACTCTTTGTTCTGAATATCTGGATGGACTTTCATACGCAGGTATTTGATCAAAAAGCTTCCCATGGTGTGAGTCTTGATAGATGCAACCGTGGGCTTGAGTAGGCCGGGACCAGAGCTCGACTGATACAAGGCTCCCATAGAAGGGTGGAAAGCCATCGTGGGCTGGAAGGACGTTGGACTGAAATTGCCTTTAGGAGAACCAGGTGGGACCTTGGAAGGGTTATAAGCCTCCAATCTCTTGCTGGTCACCTCAGTTGCTCGGAACGGAATTAACATGACGAGTAGATAGGTAAGGGTGGTACAAAAATTTCATTAAGTAAGATTGGGAATTTTTCCCTAGCGCCAGCTCCCGACCAATGGATCCAAATTATTCGATGTGGTGGACATCTGGGTAAACGAACCGTGATGAAAGACCATGGGGAGGTAATCGACCTTTGTTCCACGCAAAGGCGCCATCGTCACTCGCTAGAGGGTCGACATAAATCTAGTAAAAAAGAGGTTCGATTCGGTAGTGATACAATTAGCAATTACTGTTGCCAGGCTGCCTCCCCTTCTCCTGCGCCAAATTCTTCTCCCCCTCCTTTCTTAGCTCCTGCTCCAATGCCTGCATCAGCCTTTCTAATACCCATTTAGGCTCGTCATTAGCAGTCATGAGCGGATTCCTCTGACTCAGCCAGCTCCAAGGCTTCAGTCGACCGTCTTTATCGCGACCACTAGCTGGTCCCTCCCCGTTAACTGTCGCTGCCAGTTCAGATTCATGTACCTCCCACGGCCTTCGATGCCTCTCCTCACTCGACTCATCCTCGCCTAACAGCTTCAAAAACCATGTCCATTCAGCGTACGTATATTGACGCGGTGGCGTAGCGCCCGTGTGCTGGACAACATTTTTCATCTCTTTCATGAGCAGATAGTGGCGATTGTGTTTGCCGGCGGCAAGGTCTTTAGCGTTGCTACCCGGGTGCTCATTCATACTTTGACTTATACCCTTCACGGCTTCAGCGTGAGCGGGATCATCGGTTCCAGCACCGTCAGATTTCCCGTTCTCCATAAAACCTGGCGGCTTAGCTGATTGGAACTCGCTGCCCTTGGCCTTGGAAGCCTCATCTTTCATGGCGGATAGAGTACCAGTCTTCTCAGGTAGATGATCGCTAATCCATAGTGTGATTGTGTTGACGCCTTCATTTATGACGCCACCAACACTGCCGATGAGGACCGTCAGAGTAGGTAAAGCAATAAGAGACCATAAGACGAAGACTGGTTTGGCAGAGTTATCTTGCGGGTAGAAGTCGCCATAGCCGATTGTCAGGAAGGACACATAGGTGAAATATCTACTGGAGAGTCAGCTTTCGCCCTTCACAAGCACGATGAACTTAAACAGAGGAAAGAAAAGCCGTACAATGATTCGAAGTAGCTCCAATTCCCGGCACCCTTCTCGGCCTGCCAGAAAGCCACCGCTCCAATGAACCACAGAATAACGAAGGCACCGACGGAGATCCCAAGTGCTAACATCCGGTTGTCATTCGCTGCAGTTTGCTGGACCTCACGCATGACGTCAAACTCCTGCTCCCGTCGCTCCAGTTCAGAGGAGGGATTGTTTTCAATCTTCCGCTCCTTGAAAGGCCGCAGGTGCGTGGTGCCGGTTTTCGGGTTGTACTTTTTCAATGCTTTCTGCCGAGCCTTTTCCATCGTACGAACTGATATCTTCGTTGAGGCGCGATCCAGCGCTAACGTGCTTATAGAAGCCACTATTAGACCGACGAAGAGTATACCTCCTATTGCCATTGGAAGGAAGAGTGACCTTCCCAGATGTGTCTTCGGGCTGAAGTCGCCGTATCCGATGGTGAATAGGGTCACGTCAACCCAATAAACTGCATCAAGATAATCCCAGTCTTCGATGTAAGCATAGACAGCTGCGGCTGAAAGGAGATAGCCAAGGAAGAGAAGGACCTGTATCATCAATGTCTTCTGACTAAAGGTCAGCTTGAAGTCCGAGCTGTACTCGCCAAACCAGACCCCACTAGCGGTAGCGACCAGCAGCGAAGCAACAATGAAGTACAAAGCCGCAGCGAGGATAGCGTAATAATAGGCCTGGGAGAAAGTCCGCGCCTGGCCAGGTGGTAGAGGAAGATGCGAGGGCGCTGCGGCGACCAAGCCTATCAACATGAAGCTAGCAATGTACCAGCCGATGATGGTAGCCGGCTGTGCGATTTTAAAAGGAATGCGGCCGAAATTGTTTGCCAGTAGGAACATGTTGGCGGCGATGGCAATGACGAATGAGACAGCATTGACTGCCAATACCCTGGAGCAATCAGCTTTTGTCCTTTTCCTTATGTGACCTTTCTGGCCCCTCACCAGCTGGGATCCGAGACATATTGGCCCTCGGACTCCGTCGAGGTTGGGTCTTGTATGAGCCTCCAATGCTCTATCAAGGCGCAAAGACTGAAGGCGGATGCCATTGGTCCAAATGTGCCTGCTATGAGAGGAAAAAGGGTTGTCGCGAACCACCATCGCCTGCATTGCGTTTTTAGCAGGCGTTTTCTCCGATTGTCTCGCCATGCGATTGGGCTGGCAATATTTCAGGAAGGTCGCATACGCTGGACTTAGGTGATCTTCTTCTGCTTCCTCTTCATCTTCCTCCCTGTATGCATCTTTTTTCTCTTGTAGGTCGACATCGTCCTCGCCCGCAGTCTTGTCCATCGTGTAATGTCCAATTGAGTGGTTGAGTGGAGGTAGAGAATCGGACTGTAGAGGTTGGACGGATTGCCATTGCCATGTTTACTCATGGATTTCCTTGGCAGAACTGGCATCTGCGACCGGGTGACGCAATCCAGCTGGTGCAGCTCCCTTAAGCTTACTGCCCGTTGCTGGCTTGATATACTTGTCTGACAGGAACCATTCAATCATCAATCATTCAATCCACTGGTGCACCGCGAATCACGGAATCACTCAATCACTCATTTCAAGAGCCCACGTCCTGCGCCGACAAGCTTTGCCAAGCTCGTAGTCGCCAAGACAGCGGAGCTTGAGAGAGAATCCGCCCATTGGTGCATGGCAAGAAAGCTTCAATCCTTTTGACCAAAGCAACATCAACCAGGCATTGACACTGTATATAATCTTTCTTTCTGAGGCACTTTCTGTAATCAAGGACAAGTAAATTCGGTCAGATACCCCAACTTCTCACATTCTTTCGTCTGAACCTTTTCACTTGACGATTAAGTACTTAGCACCTTCCAACCCTCTAAACTTCAGGCAAGCTGCTAGTTTCTGGAAAAATATAGAGCTGTTATCGTATAGATATTATTTTGTGTAGATGTTATTTTAAGACTCATTGACAGCATCGCCACTCTTCCCGTCATTCTAACATCCCTCTACTTCGATCTTGAAGGTGTGAATCTCTCTCGAGGAGGCTCGGTTTCACTACTTCAATTGCTAGTGCAGCCTCAAAATCATGTCCCTCTTATATTTATGTCAAAGTCCTTTTCACCGGAGCTGCAACAAACGGTCGGACCCTCCAGAAAATCTTGAAATCTTTTACCGTTCCTACATATGTTTGACATCCGCAATGACTCCAATGCGCTCTTTTTCCAGCACGGCAACTCCCTACAATGAATTCAGGATATTCAGCTCATGGAATGTGCTTCGCGTTCGGGGACCGGCAAGGTTTCGTCCACAGTCTCTGCCAGCGTATCGAAGCTCCCGTCACTTTCTAACAAAAGTGGGCCTTTAAAGCTACTGAGGAAGTAGAGACAAAGCTTTGTAATCCGCAACATGACGATTCTTACAGGTCTTCAAAGAGCGGCCGCTAAAGCAGGACCTCGTGAATAATTGTCTGCAGGATGTACGTTTCCTGCCAGTTCTGCACGAGAACATATTGAGCTCGACTGGAGCCAGCGTGGCGGGAAATGAGACGAAAGCGAGGTGCAGTACTCGCAGACCACAATGTATCGATGGCAGGGCAGCCACAAGGCTATGAGTCCACGGCATCACTTATCGACTCAAGAAGTACACAATCGATCAATCATCTCGACTATTGATGTGCTTCGATCCATGTACTAATCCTTACTTTTCCAGTCACCGCACAATTCCCGAGCCAAACCCCGTAGTCCTTGCGCAAACCCAGACTCAACCGTCGAGTAAATCATCTCCACGGCAGACCAAGACCCCACCAGCAAAGGCGACGACTCAGACAGCAGCGGGACCCCTGAGAAGTCGATTCCCGGTAACGATAACGAAGCTGGGGATTCTAATGGGGGTGACGACGGCAGGGGAGGGGGGGCAGCAGAAGCCTGGGACTGAAATGGGACCGGGTTCGCGGGATGATCCCCACCCGGGGTCGCAGGAAACGGGGACTGATCCTGTCATTGTCGTTGGCGGTACAGGGCACTCTAATCCATCTAGTGGGGCCATGCAGGAGGAGGACGGAAAGGAGTGCTGTTGAGATGTTGGCCAGGGTTCTAGTCTAGCATTAGCGGAGAATGGGAACAGTTTCAACGAGGATTTAGAGGAGACTTGAAGGGAATTATTCTTTGCAAATGCGGAAGTGAATTTGGTAAATCTTAAGTATATGGTTCGTGGTAGATTGACCAAGCAAAGCCCGCTTGAAATGGTGTGATAGTAATCCAAGTCGTGAGGAAAAAACAGATCAGCGGTTCATCAAGAACATTGGTATCGTGAATGTAGCACCCGATCCAGCCAGCAACCCGCTTCAAGCGCTAAAGAACAGCAAGTACTGGGCTTCCAAGGTCAGCCCCAAAAAATCGATAGATAGCGACCATAGCAACAGATTCTCCTGCTGGAACACTTCAAGATCCCTTCCCGCTTACTCTCTTCCAGAACTTCTTCAGAGTGCCACGCTCTTTTGGAAGCTGATCCCAGATATCCGCTTCTTTCTTCGTTGGCGGTAGATGCTCTAATGCTAGAGGATCATCGCCTGTGGTGTTTGCATACAACGCTTTCTCATCAGCTCGCAAATCCGGCCTCGTGAGCGTCATACGGAGAGTCATCTCCCTGCTTCCAGCAAGCAGCTGTGCGAAAGGTTCGGATGTGTGGTGGCGGACGGTGGATTTGGGGAAGAGTGTATTGCTTGACCCGGAAGAGGTGGCTACTGACGGCGAGAGGAGCGCGGCGTCGTGGTTGAAGACACTGTCCATTGGAGTGTATGGTGCGTCTCTTTCTGGGAGGCTGGTGGTAGATTCAGCGTCATCATCATCGTCGAGAGCGTCGAATAGGGAGGGGATGTCATCGTGGAGGAATGTTTTGCAGGGTGCAGTTTTGTGGGCTCGGGAAAGTGAGGGTCGGCTTAAGGGCCGGTACTCTGTGTCTTCCATAGACGGGAATCCAAATTCGATTGCTTCATCGAAATTTTGAGGAGAGGCCAGGTAGACGCGGAGCTTTAGTCTGGCTTTGGGATCTTGGTAGTATTTCGTGGATGCCTCGATGGCTGAATTGGATGTCTGGGGTCCATGAGCAAGTGCCAAGAATGGGCGAGATTCGGCATGTTGATGCACGGGTTGTGGTAGAGGTGTAGTTGCAAACGGTGTCGCATAAGTGGTTTTCGGAAGTGGCGGGACTGAAGAGGTATTTGCACCGAATGGCAATTGGTTTAGAGATAACGCTCTCCGAAACGAAGGCCGGCGTTTCGAAGGTTTGATGTCAGATTCTGCAGCTTTGGTCATGAACTCGTGGTAATCGTCCAACTGTAGCTTTGCGGACAAGTCCACGTCATTGTCTTCATCGAACCAGATCATTGAGTCGTCCATGTCAATGGCCGAATCGGCAGGTTGCTCGTCGTCGAACGTGCTCAGAGAAGATAGGCTTGAGTATGATGAGGTCCTTAGTGTTGGCACACTTCGATTCCCTTCCCTGCCTTGCCTGTAGAATCTGCAGAATTTCTCATCTGAGGCGTCGAGAACGATGCTGTCCCTATGTCCTGACAACGCAAGGCGCTCCTCCCTAGTGAAATGTTTTCGTTGGACCTTATTGGGCAGTCTGAGGAACCATTGAGCATCTGATGGGATGAATGTATCGCTCGAGGGCGAAGGAGTCTTCCTTCGTAAAATGGGAGGATTCTTGAAGTAGCTTGAATTCCTCCGAGCCAGCGCAGGACGTGATGGCGAGGATTTTGGTTTGGAAGCTTTCAAGGCGCCATGACAACTTTTCACCGAGGCAGCTTTTGTTGCGGACGCGGAGTTCTGCGCAAGCCTCAGTCTCTCGAGAGACGAGAAGTACTGTTGATAGAAGGTCGAATTAGCTATATGGACCTAGGGATATTTATCATGTCCGACAGTGGAGAGGAATGGGCTACGTACTTTTCGCTTGACGGCAGGAGGAAGGTTGGCCCATTCATTATTATTGTTGATTCTATTGCTGCTACTGTTCAAGGAGGTACAAGTACAAGTCATCTCGTGACTAGTGGCAGGTCTTGGCATTTTGTTGGGAATGGATCAACATATAGCGGCTCGAAAGGAATTGACACTCCATTCAATCGCTTCAATCAATTGAATATCTTGAGGAAGGGCCAGAGAGGTATAACAGTTGACTTATCGAGGTATTTAGGGGTGCAGAAGAGGTGCGGAAGAGTATCTGTAATTGTTGACGCCCCACGAGCGCTGTCAGCCTTGATACATAATCTTATGTCACTAGTCGGTAGCGCTGAGGAATCCCTTTGAATCCTTTTCCGAATCAATTACCAGTTCACCACTCCACGAGTGCTTCATCTGCAGGGATACAGCCCGCGTATCGTGGTTCAGCTTTGAGGCTTGGGCAGAAGGCATGGTTCTACTCGTAAATTAGCCAATCTACGTCTGCAGGTCAAGCCTTCGTCGGAGCACCAACAACGTCTGGCTCGTGAACACTGAACAGGCGAGGCCGAAGACCAGAACTCTGCTGTAAATGTAATTCCCCTATTCGTCCTCGAGTCTCGCAGGCCGAGAGCAATTCATTGGCTCACGTCTTGACAGATCACGATTGATCTGCTAGCCTCCTGCATTCGGTGGATTGTGGACATTTGGCGGCACGACGGCGTCAAATGTCTTGAGTCCTTGACGCAAGGCACAAGGCACGTACTTTTTACTCTTCTTACCTGCATTAGTCCCACACTATGCCCCCGTAGCAACTAGCAAGGGCCGTTTGACAGGCCTACCGGCAGGGGCTGAGGCCTAACCCCTAGGCGAGATGATCGCCCATAGGCCCATATCTGAGTGATCTGGAGCCAACGACTGTACTTACCTATGTTCCCCTCAGTGATTAGCACTTGAAAGGAAATTGTCCAAAATCAAAAAATATACTCATCTGCACATTACGCATATCCGCTGTCAAATATCGGACAGCACGGGCTTGCTGCCCCATGCCTGTCTTTCGGAAGGGAATATGAAGCGGGACACTGCTGAGACACATGGCTACCCAGCATGTTCTGCGTGTATGTAGGTAGAAGTATTATGACCTCAAGTCTCAACAAATAGAGTGCCACAGCGATGGCCTGAACAGTTGATTGGGTTCGAATTGGCGTTTAGATCTCGCTTAGTAGTTAGGAATTGATTTGGCTGCCACGCGAGAACATCAACCCTGGTAGTAGCAGTAGTAGTAGTAAGGTGCCCCCCTTCGCCCGAGGGCCCCTGGAACACTACAAATTGATCCCTGGAGCCGAAGGTGAAAGCTTAATAAACCCGCCCCCAAAACCAACGATTGCATACTGCTGTATCCCAGTCCCGCAAACATCATCACCACACAGCGCCAGCGTGTCTTGGTATTCCACAAACAGTAGTATCACGCCTGCATCCCTCCCGAGATGAGTTCCGCCGGCCGCAAATTCTCGGTGAGCAAAGGTCCGAGCGCAAGGTATTATTCTTTCCTTCTCACTTCATGATCCATTATCACACGTTGACCAGCGTACTTGTAGCGAATTGAATTCCAAGATCCATCGCCAATTCCGCAACGCTCATGAGGGACATCGGCCACATGCCGGCCTTGACCCCAGTAGGGCCAGCACTGGCGTAGTATGGTGCACGGAGAGAGCAACCGAGCATGGCTTTCAGGACGACCCTACACAGTGGGCCAACCTGGGGCAAGGTGCACCTGAAGTCGACGATGATATCGAAGGAAGCTTTGAACGCCCTAAGACCATCGAGGTGTCTATGGCTGGCCGAGAGTATGGTCCAACGGCAGGTATCAAGCCACTGAGAGCTGCCATCGCCAATCTGTACAACGCACACCATCGTCAGGGCAAAGACAGCAAGTATACCTGGGAGAATGTTGCTGTTGTCCCTGGCGGCAGAGCTGGTCTCATCCGCATTGCTGCTGTATTGAACAACGCCTACTTGGGCTTCTTCATTCCTGATTACACGGCCTACAATGAGATGCTGGGACTTTTCAGAAATTTTGCGGCTATTCCCTCGCCTCTATCTGAAGCAGATGGCTACCACATCCACCCAGAAAAGATTTCTGATGAGATTGCGCGTGGTACTTCTGTTATCTTGACCTCCAACCCTCGCAACCCTACTGGTCAAGTTGTGAAGAATCCCGAGCTTGCACAGATCCAAGACTTGTGCCGTGATCGAGCAACGTTGATCATGGACGAATTCTACGGCGGCTACAATTACACGAGTAATTGTGACGGTACCACCGTCAGCGCAGCTGAGAACATCGTCGACGTGGACGAGGACGACGTCCTCCTAATCGATGGCTTAACCAAGCGCTTCCGTCTACCGGGCTGGCGCGTTGCCTGGATTGTCGGACCCAAAGAATTCATCAAGGCCATCGGGTCTTGCGGCTCATACCTCGATGGAGGAACCAACGTGCCTTTCCAAGAAGCTGCGATCCCGATGCTCGAGCCCACGAGAGTCCTGAATGAAATGAAAGCACTGCAGACACATTTCCGAAACAAGCGTGACTACGTTCTGGGTAGACTGAACGATCTCGGGTTCAAGATCAGGAACATACCAGACTCGACTTTCTACATCTGGCTTGACTTGAGCGGACTACCAGCGGGGATCAATGATGGGCTTAATTTCTTTCAGAAGTGCTTAGAGCAAAAGGTCATCGGTGAGACTGAACGTGTGCCTTCTCTTCATGAAAGACAATCACTGACTTTGGATTCCTGTTTTTTAGTCGTGCCGGGCATCTTCTTCGATCTGAACCCTGCTAAGAGAAGGGACTTGTTTGACAGCCCTTGCCACCACTTCATCCGCCTTTCCTACGGACCGACGATGGAGACCCTCAAGAAGGGCTTGGACGGAATCGAGAGAATCCTGAAGAAGTAATTCGTTGTCCACCTTTGGAATTTTTAGTAAATGACTGACAGATATAGTTACGAGGCTACTTACGAAAAAGAGACATAGAATCAATCACCATTACGACTCATGCCCTGCAGCCGCGAAGAAGGAACAATAGGAGACTCCACAGCACCCAACATTTTGCGGTGCAGATCTGTGACCCTTAGGTTGCCGTAACTTCATGTTCTTCGTGCCTTTCGTACCCCAAATCTTGCAATTAAATACTGCTGATATTGAAAATATTACTTCAACCTGAGATTGCTCATCTTCAATTTGTTCGAGGTTTATGCGAAGCATGATTCTTCCTTATCCAACGCTCTAAATCGATCAATACGCCAGCCTCCATCTCCCGTCATCCGACAACGGCGCTGGCACTGTCAGTTATGTCGAAGGCGCTTTCTCATTCTCGTTCATCCGGACTCGATGCGGAGCAGACGCGTTCGTCGTCTTCTTCGGTGGAAGCTTCGGCACGGGTTCTTTGTCTCTTAAGTGGAGGGCCCAATTTTCTTTTCTTGGAAGCCCAATGGTCTCAACAGAAAGTCAAGAGGCCCTGTCATCTGCAAACCCTTTTTCACTTGTACTCGCTCGTTGATTTGACGTCCGACTCTTTCCACATCTAGTGTTATGACTTTCGGCTCCATTTTGTTGCTTGAATGTCCCCCTTATCTTTCGATGAGAAATTTAGAGATGGTATAGTCGATGTTCCTATACCAAATCCTGTCCCTTGCGTCGTCTTTCTGCAGCCATCTGTACATGCATTCGTGAAGTACGGGATGTTGACAGGGTCGTACTCTACTAGGATGAGAGTCGCGACGGGAAAGCTAATACCGTCGAGCTCAGTCAGCTTTTTGATGGCGTCAACGAGATGTTGCTGGTCGCCATAGATGCCGAATGCAGCACGCGTCACTTCTCGAACTGTCTTGACGCTGTTTGAGGCGAGTGCGCCAGGAGTACTGGCTTGTTGGAGATCGTGTTTTCTTGACATTGCATGTTAGCGCTTGCTTTTCCATGTGTCCGAGAGAAAATGCCAGCTCAGCGCCCCCATTCCGCCAGAATCAGCAGTTGCGTCTTCTCCAAGAAGGCTATCCATCCTGCCGTCATGCATCATACATGCAGGGACACTTTATAGATGAAAGTATTCCAAGTTTTGGTCTGTGTCGCGACCAAGGATGTCGTACTTATCCGAGAGATCTTTTGAGGTCGATATGATCTTGCCGAAAGATTTCTCGTCGCCTAGACCAACGCGATCCAGAACCATTATGCATACTGAAGCGAGTATCAGAGGTCTATTCTGTTGACCTAGCTGCGGGCCCCAGAACATCGACATCGATTTTGGCTACGCGAAAATGTCTTGGCGGCTCGCGCGTCTCAGAATCGCGTCTTCCATCAACTAGAGTACTTTAGCGAGGCTGGGTGCATATCTACATTGAGCAAGCAATTGACCCATCTATATAGCAACGAAAGGCCAGAATGTCTAAGAAACGGTCGCTCGACAGTTTCTTCACGCCCACTTCTCAAAAGAAGGTCTGTCTAACAGTAGAAGCTGCGCCCTCCGAGGTCAACCCAGTCTACACATCCAGCACCGAAGTCTCCAATCACAAAACCTACCCTTTCCCAATTCCTCGCCTTCCACCAAACATCATCGAGCGATTGAACGAAGTGCCAGCTTCTCAAGGCAACGAAATCAATGACCAGCCCGATCTCGATCTCCTCTACTTCCAACCTTATATCCCGCCCGCGACCGAAAGAGAGCTGTTCGAATTTTTGAGGAATGCGCTCTTCTTCTACAGGGTGCAATACACCATTAAGCGCTATGGTAACGAGACTCGTATAAACACACCTCGTTTCACGACGGTATATGGCGTCGACACCTCTTCCACGTTCACCCCAGATGGCGCCCTCATCGACAGCCAAACATCCAAGCCAGTCCTTCCAGACCGCTACAAGACCTGTACTCCACGTCCCATTCCTCACTGCCTTGATTATCTGCGCCAGCTCACAGAGATCTTCACTGGAGCAACCTACAACTTCTGCCTCGTCAACTACTACGCCAACGGCGCAGACAGCATATCCTACCACAGCGACGATGAGCGTTTTCTCGGTCCCAACCCCTCGATCGCCTCCTTCTCCCTCGGCGCAACCAGAGACTTCTGCATGAAGCATAAGCCTATACCACCCAAAGATGGAGAGCCCCCACCAGAGCAAAATAGCAAGCCGCCGTTGAAGCTACCGTTAGCGAGTGGAGATATGGTGCTCATGAGAGGGAAGACGCAAGCGAATTGGCTGCATAGTATTCCGAAGAGGAAGGGCAAGGGGAGCGAAGGAGGGAGGATCAACATCACTTTTAGGAAGGGAGTGGAGAAGTATTCGACGCAAAATTACTACCAGTATAACGTGGGTGACGGAGGGGTGTGGAAATGGGATGCTAGGAAAGGTGAAATGAAGGAATGGGTGAAGGCGAGTGAAGAGAGCTAAGACGCACGAGGAAAGTTCAGAAAAATCTGGTCAAGAAGTCCGGCATCACGAGGCATTAGAGTAATCGTGTCACCAAAATTTAGATCACACCTAATGGGCTGGGCACTGGCTATATTCCCAGGGAGCCTTGGTCCAGTCCTCGAAATCGTTGTCATCTCATATACTGCTGAAGTACGTCATCGTTGTGTGCTTCTCAGGCCTGCTCATCCTTGAAATGTTGCTGCAGAACGCTGCCATTCGAGGAGCAGCATCGACCTGCTATATCTCGGCATCATAGATGTCGTTCGCTTCCAACGGCTTACTCAACCCAATGAGGCCAGTCCCTCATTTAGGCTGGGAGGAGGCTGGGCGCCTGAGGTGAAAAATTTTAGTAACAAGCGGAGTAATGGCTCCAGTGAAGAATAATCAAGATGCGCTGGGTACATTGGTAACCATTGAAAAAGAGCCATTCCACGGTTCCGCATACTGACAATCCGCTGATGCAAGAAAGCAGATAGTTCTTCGGTTAAGAACAAGTGCAAACGCATTCGGAATTTCTGAAACCATGAGATAGCACATGTAGCTAAAAGATGAGCGCGTACACAGCTTCTAGGAGGTTTTGCATGAAAGGCACGAGTTCATCTCAACTGGAAGCAAGCGTAGCATAGCACTTGCTCAGATACGACTTTGCTTCTCATCCACATTTACCGTGACAAAGCAATATCATCAATCCTAAGTATCATCTTCACCGTCTCCGCCGCCAATTCCACCGCACTGGTACTCACCAGTAGCGGCTGGAGCACATTCTCTTCTTGCATGTTATTCTTGACACCTCCACTTCGGATACTGACTCCTGCGTTCTTCTCGCCAAACTCGTGTCTATGCCTCAAATCTGTAACCACTCGTATGCTGTTCAATCCAGCGTTCTCCGCAAGTGTGGTAGGGATGACTTCCATAGCATCTGCGAATGCCTTCCAACAGATCGCTTCGGTTCCCGTCATTTCTCTCGATTGCCTTGAAAGTGTATTGGCAATCGCGATCTCAGGCGCTCCACCGCCGGCGATGAGTGCCTTCTTCTTTACCAGGCACCGAATAACGCAAAGAGCGTCGTGTAGAGAGCGTTCGGCTTCATCGAGGATGAGCGAATTGGCACCGCGGCAGATTATGCTAACGGTCTTGGGAGTGTTTGGGTGCTTGTGGGCAATGCCGGTTACTTTGACTATGCGCGAGCCTGACGCTTGGACCTCGTCGAGGAGGTCCGCGGAGCCGAGCTTGTCCTCCGTGAAGGAGTCGATGTCGGCAATTGGTTTGCAGCCTGTGCTCTTGCAGATGAACTCGACTTCGTCTCGCTCGATGTCCTTGACCGCTAGAATGTTAAGTTTCGCCAGGAAATGTAGACTCAAATCGTTGACTGCATCTCTTAGTATAGATTTTTGTATCAAGAGGACGTTGCACTTCGCTTTCTTGATTTTCTTGACCATGTTTAGTAAATACGTTCGTTCCTCCTTCAAAATCTTGTCCATCTGCCGGTAGTCGTTCACTACAATCTGATTCTCCATATCCGGCTTGGGAGGGCTCAGCTGGAACTGTATCAGGGCTATCCTGGCTTTCTCCATTCTGGCTGGTCCGCCTCCGCTCTTCACTACTGGCTGATTGAGCACCAGACCATCAATCATTTCACTGTCTTCTATTGTACCGCCCACTTTCTTCACTATTCTGATGTTTTTTAGGTCGACATTGTCTGCAGTTTTCTGGTCGATAGTCTTGAGCACGGCGTCGACGGCCATAGGACCAAGTAGGTTCGAGTGTTGGGAGACAATCTTGGACGAGAGCGATGTAGAGGCGGCTTGTAGCAGTGTGGTCCGATCTGATAAAGATATTGGGTGTGACATTTTCTCGAGCGTCTGCACTGCAGCTGCTGCAGCTCGCTGGAATGATTCCGATATGACGGTAGGATGTATGCCCTTTGCCAATAATCGATCCGCTGCTCCCAGTAGACTCCCAGCAATCACTACTACCGAGGTGGTACCGTCTCCTGCCTCCACATCTTGAGCTGCACTGAGATCGACGAGCATCTTCGCCGCTGGGTGCATGACACTCATATCTTTCAGCATCGTGTTGCCATCATTCGTAATTATGGTCTCGCCCTTTCCCGTCTGTATCATCTTATCCATTCCTCTTGGACCTAGTGAAGTACGTATTGCGTCTGCAACAGCTCGAGCTGCCATGATGTTGGCGTTTCGGACGGCCATAGGCTTCTCCTTATCCTATAGACATTGTCAGCGTCTACAAGAAACTGCGAAGACTTATTGAAGAGTACTTTGAAGGCATTGTTGCCAGAATTCGACTTGGGTGGGGCTGTGGCAGCCATCTTGGGTGTAGAAGGTAGTCAACACTGGCAAGTAAACAAGTATCACTCTATTAAGCCAGATGTACTAGAAAGACCGATAAATACTGCTTATTCTAGTTCAAGTCTGGGTCGAATGGTGTGTAGTTCAAATATCGAAGTATCGAAGTATCAAAGTCGCGTCCCACGATTTTCAGCAACCGCGAAGCTAGCGTCGGCTCAAGCCGAGAGAGTAGAGAGAGCTCTGAGCCTCTGACGCCCTTCACCCAAAAGCGAAACAAGGAGCCATCCTTAGATCATCAACCTACCACTCACACCACCCGCTGTCGACCATCTTCATCATACTCACCAACACCTCATAGTAACGACACCTGTTTTGGGACGTAGAACGCCTCTTCTCGCTCTGCGTTTCCAGCCGCTGGATCCACCGATTGACCGATATTACCGACGACTAACAACCAGAGCAACTCGCTTTCCAAGATGCCTAGTGCAACTGGGCAGAGTTGGGAGAAGTACAAGAAGGAGTTCGTAGACGATGAAGAGCCCGAGAAGAAGATCACACCCCTCACCGATGAGTATGTACACCTTGGACATCCTTTCACATGGCGGACTCGGATTGTCTATGAATGATGGATGCTGACACACGTTACCAGGGACATCCAAGTACTTAAGACATACGGCGCCGCACCGTATGCTGCCGGCTTAAGACGTCTGGAAAAACAGATCAAGGAGAAGCAAACTAGTGTCAACGAGAAGATTGGTATGTCTACGGTGGCTGTGACGGTCAGATTGTAGTCCGCTTTCAGCGCTGATCCTCCCTACAGGTGTCAAGGAGTCAGACACCGGTCTCGCACCACCGCATCTATGGGACATAGCAGCTGATCGGCAACGAATGTCAGAAGACCATCCCCTACAAGTTGCTCGGTGTACCAAAATCATTCAAGATGAGAAGGACCCAGAAAAAAGCAAATATGTCATTAACGTCAAACAAATCGCCAAGTTCGTCGTCAAACTCGGCGAGCGTGTCAGTCCCACCGATATCGAAGAAGGCATGCGTGTAGGTGTCGACCGAAACAAATACGAGATTCTCCTTCCCCTTCCGCCCAAGATCGATCCCTCGGTAACCATGATGACGGTGGAAGATAAACCCGACGTGACCTATGGTGATGTCGGTGGCTGCAAAGAGCAAATCGAAAAGATCAGAGAAGTCGTCGAAATGCCACTACTCTCCCCAGAACGATTCGTGAGTCTAGGTATCGACCCCCCAAAAGGTGCTCTTCTCTACGGTCCCCCTGGCACAGGCAAAACACTCTGCGCAAGAGCCGTAGCAAATAGGACCGACGCTACATTCATCCGCGTTATTGGTTCGGAACTGGTGCAAAAATACGTGGGCGAGGGCGCCCGTATGGTGCGAGAGCTATTCGAAATGGCCAGGACAAAGAAAGCATGTATCATCTTCTTCGACGAAATCGACGCCATAGGCGGTGCCCGATTCGACGATGGAGCTGGAGGTGACAACGAAGTGCAGCGTACCATGTTGGAGCTCATCACCCAACTCGACGGCTTCGATTCCCGCGGAAATATTAAAGTCATGTTTGCCACAAATCGTCCGTCAACTCTCGACCCAGCACTCATGCGTCCCGGTCGTATAGATCGAAAGATCGAGTTCGCACTTCCTGACCTCGAGGGCCGATCAAACATCCTTCGTATCCACGCCAAGAGTATGTCCGTGGAGCGGGATATCAGATGGGAGCTAATTTCGAGATTGTGCCCGAACAGCACAGGAGCCGAACTGAGGAGTGTGGCTACCGAGGCCGGGATGTTCGCGATAAGGGCGAGGCGGAAGGTTGCTACCGAGAAAGACTTCTTGTCGGCCGTGGACAAGGTCATCAAGGGGAATCTGAAGTTTAGCTCTACGGCGAGCTACGCGCAATACAACTAGAAACTTGGGAAATTGTATACTATATCTGCGGCGTTTGTTAGAGGTGCATCCAATGCGTCGTGGACGCTACAGCGTGCAAAACACTCCTAATGATCAAGACTCGGGTGCTACTCCTGTCGATCAGGATCTTGTCACCAAAAGGGGTGAACAGAACCAAAGCAAAACCCGGACAACGTTGCAACCCTTCAGATCTTGATCACCGAACGCAAGTGTCCCTGGATATGTGCATCTTTGTAATTGTAATCATATACATAAAGGCTCACTAGCAAATGCCTTGAGCCAGGACAACGCGGAAACATGAGTCGTCCAACACCCAATCCATGCCCCCCTAAACCCATTCCATGCATGCCCTTCTTCCCGCCTGATCCCTAGATCTTCCAGCCATTAGTACGTACGCTTGAAGGGCGGTACTGCCTTGCATTCTACTTGTTTGTTAGTTCGTTTGTTCTACCGTGTGGGGATACATGATCATGAAAAGGCGTGTACTAACCCGCCTCATCCAATGTATGCCCGATAACCTGCCTATATCCCAGCTCCACCTTCCCTTGGGGTTCCTTCTGGAAACTCAGAGTATGCTTCATCCAATTTTTGTCGTCTCTATCCGGGAAATCCTCTCTCGCATGTGCACCCCTCGACTCCTTCCTGTTAGCAGCCGAGTCTGCCGTTTGCACAGCACAAGTCAAAAGGTTCCGAAGTTCGAGAGATTCAACGAGGTCGCTGTTCCAGATCATACTGCGATCTTTAGTGCCGAGCTGCGCAAATGATTGGTCAACGTCCTTGATACGCTTGCTACCCTCGTCGAGCGATTCTTGCGTACGGAACACGGACACGTCAGTCTGCATCACCTTCTGCATTGCACTGCGGATTTCGTGTGTTGATTTAGGGCCTGATGCGGTTCGAACTTTGTCGAGCATGCTGATGGTGTCGGCACCAGCGTCCGCGCGGATTTCTTTGTGTGGCATACCGGGGGAGAAATTGTCCCGGACAGTGTGGCTGACTGCTCGGCCGAAAACGATGAGATCAAGGAGGGAGTTGGCACCGAGACGATTGGCGCCGTGGACGGAAACGCAGGCGGCTTCTCCGCAAGCGAAGAGGCCAGGGACGACTTGGTCATTGCCCTGCTCATCAACAGTGATGACTTCCCCAGTGTACTTGGTTGGAATACCGCCCATGTTGTAATGGACGGTAGGAAGGACGGGAATCGGCTGCTTGCGGACGTCGACGCCGGAGAAGATGCTAGCGGTTTCGGAGATACCAGGGAGACGCTCATGGAGGACCTCCGGCGGCAAATGCGAGAGCTGCAGGTAGATGTGGTCTTTGTCAGGGCCGACGCCACGGCCTTCCCGGATCTCCATGGTCATCGATCTTGAGACTACGTCTCGTGATGCGAGATCTTTGGCTGTTGGTGCATAACGTTCCATGAATCGCTCACCTTCGGAGTTAAGGAGGTAGCCTCCCTCGCCACGAGATCCTTCGGTGATCAGACATCCAGCACCATAGATACCGGTCGGGTGAAATTGGACAAATTCCAGATCCTGGTTTGGTAGACCAGCACGAGCTACCATTGCCATCCCGTCTCCTGTGCAGGTGTGGGCTGATGTGCAGCTGAAGTATGCTCTTCCATAACCTCCGGTTGCGAGGACGGTGTTATGTGAGCGGAACCTGTGCAATGTGCCGTCTTCTTGATTGTATGCAATCACGCCCTTGCATTCGCCATCTTCCATGATCAGATCCAGCGCGAAGTATTCTATAAAGTAATTGGTATTGTGCCTTAGTGACTGGCCGTATAGAGTGTGAAGGAGGGCATGGCCAGTTCGATCAGCTGCAGCGCAGCATCGGTATGCTTGCCCTCCTTTTCCGAACTTCTGCGATTGACCACCGAAGGCTCGTTGGTAGATTTTACCCTCGTCTGTTCTTGAGAAAGGGCAGCCATAGTTTTCTAATTCAATGACACTTGCGGGCGCCTCCCTTGTCATGTAGTGTATCGCATCTTGATCGCCCAGCCAGTCTGAACCCTTGACGGTATCGTACATGTGCCACCTCCAATCGTCCTCGTGCATACTGAATAAGAGATCCCATCAGCATCTGGTCTACCTCCATTGGACTCGAGAGATGAAAACCTACTTTCCCAACGCTGCATTGATGCCGCCCTGTGCAGCTACGGTGTGGCTTCTCGTGGGGAACAATTTCGATATGCATGCCGTGTTGAAGCCTGCCTCGGCCAGACCAAAGGCTGCTCGCAGACCGGAGCCACCAGCGCCCACAACAAGGGCGTCATACTCATGGTCCTATGCGAGCACTTGTCAGAAGTTCGTTTGCGAGTCCATGGTCCGAAGTGCATACTATTATTGGGTACTTGTTGTTGATGAACGGGGATGCCTCTTTGGCTCGAAGCGGTTGATTGGCTATGATTCGAGCTGAGTATAGTTGTAAGTGCAGGAACGTAGCACCCAAGTCAAGGTGATTTTACCATGAGGTCTTGAAGTGGAGAAGAGTCGACTGTGTCGTGTAACTTTTGAGAACTGGCAGATTCCATTAGCATCTTCGCCCCTCATCATTTTTTGTTCAAGAATGGTGACGGTATGGACAGACCTTGGATGCTGAGGTCAAGCTCCGTATACCTAAAGAAGCCATACCGGCGGAAGAAATCTAAAGGGATCTAACTGCAGACAATTGGACCTGAGTAAGATCAGGTTGGAAGGTGCAGTGCTTGATCGAATTGGAGAGCAGGCGAATCGGGGAGGCGGAAATGTCGTCGATAGTCGCCACACTAGCGGCTAACGGCTGTGGAGCCGAGGTCTCTCGTTGTCCAATCACCGCTCACCTATTCAAATCGAAAGTAAGGTATACTTAGTTCTAGGGCACACCAACAGGACATAAGTGCACACGCTCCTGACCCGCCGTACTCATCCAACTTGTCTCTCTTTCAGATGTGAGAATCACTCTGTAATCATTATAATACACCCAAGTGAGTGTACAAGTAGCATAAATCAACTTGTGCCAAGTCTGCCTGCCCCTTTCTCCTTCTCTACTATCCGTAATGGTGACGGTTGAGATAGGCCTCATGCTTGATAGTACATATCAGTAGCAAGCACCGAGTGTCGATTGATACCAAAATGACTAGGGAGTAACTCTAAATTTCGGATTCTTGACTATAATAGTTCGGCAAGGCGATAGAAGCACAAATCCATGGGTCCTGGCCCTACGCATTGAAGGGGTTTTTTGATGCCACGCACATGTGTGGGGTGGCCGTCGGTGCGTCAAGTATCTCAAGATGCCAATGACCATTCTACCATTATTATAGAGGAGGCACGAAAACTACTTGGATTCGGTACACCCACAGAAGAGAGCTCTTCTGGCAAGCAACGCCCTTACCAAACTCTTGCCAATTTTTGTACTTCTGTGCTTGTTTATATGGAAAACAATCCACAGCCAACATTACCCAGCAAGCAACAGATTAGCCGGTCTTTGCAGGGCTCTAGTCCCGGACCAGACTCTGTGAGCACTTTTGGGCAGAATGTTGCAGACCCCAACGCGAAGGGTAATACCATTGAACCAAAGCTAGCGCCCGCTGAGACATACGGCATCCTAGTTCTCTACGTCCCCAGCAATTTCGATGTTGCCAATCAAGAAGGAGCCATCAACGGTATCATCAATATTGATAAAGGCTTCATAGCCGGTCTTGAGATCAAATCAATCGAGTGGCTGATACCAGAATGGACGAAGACAAAGCAGTACGGCTCATTGCTTGTAGAAATTCGCACGGCCGGAACATGTCCATGCAGCTATCAGAGAACAGCTGCTCGTTGGAAGCAAGGTTTTAGCATGCGAGTATTATGAACGGAACAGCCGGTTAAGGCAATGCAAGACATGCCAGCACTATGGACACATAGAGGCCCAATGCATCTCCGCGCCCGCTTGCGGCCGCTGTGCTGAACGACACTTCACTGCAGAGTGTAGAAAAAGAGAGAATCCCAAGAACTTTACATGTGCAATCTGTCACGGCCCACACAGGGCCTGGGACAACGTTTGCAACATCAGGCAAGACGAGCTTGGCAGTATACGTCTTGCAAGGGCTAATCGCCCAGAATACCATCCCAAGCCTAGTTGTAACCTTGGAGAGCTTTCGAAACACACGGACGATGTCCTAAGCCGCGATTTCGCTGGCACTCGTCGGTCCTCGGTTGAATACCTTATTGAGGTAGATATGCGTGGAGGCAGGAAATCGCATGCAAATTGAGAGGCAGAGGAGGTCGAGGCCAGGGCCTTCCTCCAGATTTTCGTGAGAGCCCAGAATCTATTGAGCAGGAGTCCGTGCCGTTTCCGGGGAAACCGACCGGAAACAGTCGGGGTAGGAATGGCAAAGCGCCTTTCGGTTCCGACCGGTACGGCGTTCAGGTTGCTGCTTGGGCTGGTTGTCTGAAGATCAAGCAAGAGGTCCAATCAGATTGGGGAGGAGATGGATCTATGCAAGGTCAGAACTTTGGCTGGGGCCAGGGTGGTGTGATTACGATGCATCCAGAGTAAGAGTAATAATAATTTATTTATTAATTATACTAAATATATAATTAAGAAGAAAATATATTATTAAAAAGTTAATAGTTATAGCTAAAGAAGCTTACTACTCGAAAGATTATTTAAAAAAAAAGTTTTTTATTTATATAAAAATTAATCTAATTAGATTAAATAAGAATTTTAAAAAAAAAAAAAATTAATATATTAAAAGAAATAGATCTTAAATTAAATCTTTTTTATATTTTTACTAATTTAATATTAGTTATAAATCTCTTAATCTTAAATCTAGATAATATTTAAAGTTAAATTATTATAAGTAAATTATAAATATATTATTATTTAGAAAAATTTAAGAACTTCGATAAAAAAGTCTTAAATATTTTTAAAGCTAAATTATTTATATAATATAAAGAAAAATATCTTATCTTTAAAAGATATAATATTAAATTTAATTTAAGTTATATTAAAGTATAATTTATAAATATTATTAAAAAAGAGTTAATTATAATTTTTATCTTTATCGCTAACTCGTAAAATTTTATAAAAAGTATTATTAAAACTTCTAATATTTAATATAATAAATTAAAAATCTTAATAAAAAGCTTTTAAACTATTAATTATAATATTAAGATATTTTAATAATAAAATAAAGAATTTAATTAGAATATTACTTAAATTAAAATAAAAATATTAATAATTATTATCTAACTAAGTAATAATAATAATTAATTATTTTATAAGCGAGAAATTAATAATAAATTTTAAGGTTTATATAATAAATATCGTATTAATATTACGAAATTTATTAAAGAAAATAAAAAACTTAAATAAAATTTAAAATATAAAGAGTAATAGCTAAAGAAGTAGAAGAAGTAATAATTTTATACTTTAATTAATTTAAAAAACTTTAATAAAAAAGATATAGAAATCGTATTTTATTAGCCGAGTATTTTTATTAATAATATTTATTAAAACTTATATTATACTTCTATTATAAATTACGTAGAGAGTATAAAATTAAATAAATAATATTTCGATATCTCGATTTTCTATAATATTAATAATTAAGATAAATAAAATAGCTAATATTAATATCTTAAAGCGAAATTTAAATAAAATATTATAATCTTCTCTATTAAATTTAAAAAAATCGATTATATATAAAATTATTATAAAATTATTATATATAATATTATTAAAATAAGAATAAATAAAAATATCTTAAATTTATATTAGATTATTTAAAAAATAATCGATAAATTAAATAATATATTTAAAATTATTAATAAAATTATTAAATCGAATATTAAGATATTTAAATTTAAATTTAATATAAAAGTAATAGATAAGAAGAAATTATTTAAGAATTTCTACGCACGATTCTTTATAATTTTTTTTTTTTTTTAAGATTTACTAATATCTATAAAATATTTAATTTAAAATAATTAATCTTTATATATCTAAGATATTAAATTTTAGAATAATCTTTTAATATTTTTTAAGAATTAATTATTTTTCTATAAGTATTAGATATAAATCTTTAAATTATTAATAATACGTTAAATTTAAAGAGTAAGAAAGAGATTAATAAAACTAATAATAGTTATAAGAATTCTATCCTCTTAAATAATTAGCGTAATTCTTTCTTTACTAAAAAAAATATTATTATTATTATTAAAAAAATTTATATATAAGAATATAAATATTCTAAATTATTAGTAAATAGAATTTAAAAAGAAGATAGATATTTTAAATATTTAAAAATTAGATATTATTTTAGTAATAATAATATTCTATATAAAAATATAAATTTATTAATAAAAGAATAAATCGATATAATTCTAAAAGCTGTTAATATAGAGAAGAACGTTCTTATTAAACTATTATAAAAATTAAAAAATTAAATATTTTTAATTAAGTCGTCGTTAGAAATTTAAAAGTTTTATATATAAAAATTAAAGAGTTAGAAAGAGAAAGAATATTTACTTTTATCTCTCTATTCGCGTATATTATTACTATTAAAGCCTCTTTATAAAATAAATATTAATTAAACTTTTATAAAAAAAAAAATTATATTAATAGAATAGATTAAGATTAATTATCTTTTAAATATTAAAGCTTTAATATTAAGCTTTATAAATATATCTTTTATTAAAATAAATAAGCTACTTAAAATAGTATTATTATAATTTTATAGATTATAATTAATCGATAATAAATCTATTTTTATTTTTAATATTATATATATAGTCTTAATAAAACTTATTTTAAAAAATTATATAAAAGAACTTTAATATTTAATTATCTTATTAAAATAATTTAATATTATTTTAAAAATATTATAGCTAGAATAATATAACTCTTATATATTCTTTAAATCTAAAATTATTATATTTAATTTAGATTATTATATATTTAACTATTTATTATATAGTAAACTTATTACTATTTAAAGTAATAATAAGTTTTTAAAAAGAATTTAAATTATATAATAAAGATTATATTTTAAAAAAAAGAATATAATAAAGATTTTTATTTATACTTTTATTAAGATAATTAAAAAATTAAAAAATTAAGTTATTATTACGTTTTCGTAACTTAGCGTAGTTTAATCTAGCGTAACTTAGCGTATAACTACTTTCTTCGTTTCTTTATAGCTTTCTAGCTCATTAATGAATCAATTAAAATCATATAAAGAAACACCTTTCTTCTTCGTGAAACTCCTTTTTCGAAGTATATATATACTTCTCATACCTGTAATCTTAATAGTTATTATTATATAGTTTTACAATTTTAAATAATTTTTTAACTTTATTAATAAGAAAGCGAAGTTTATTATTAATATCGCCGCTATTATAATAAAAGATTATAAAAAATTCTTTTATAAGCTAAGAAAGAAATCTTTAACTATAAAATAATTATAAAAATAAGTTTTTATAGCTTATTATAAATAGCTAGATATTTAAATCTTATTAAAACTAATAAATTTTCTCTTTATCGCTTTATTAACTATAAAATATATTTTAAAAAAAAAGCTATTTTACTATTAGAAAGGGCTTATAGACTCTTTAAAGATTAGATATTAATTATAAAGAAGTATATTAATAAGATATTAAAAAAAGATTATATTAGATTAAGTATATTATTCTATACTATATTTATTCTAATAATAAAAAAGCTTAATAAGAGATTTAGATTATATATAAATTATAAAGCTCTTAATATACTTACTATTTTTAATTAAAATATTTCTCTATTAATTAAAGAGATTCTCGCTAAATTATATGTGGTGAGAATATATAATAAATTCGATATTATAGTTACTTTTAACGAAATTAGAGTAAAAAAGAATTATAAAAAAAAATTATATTTCTTACTCGATATAGTCTATTCGAATATATAATAATACTCTTCGAATTATATAATACTCTTATTACTTTTTAAATATTTATTAATAACATTTTATATAAATATCTAAATATATTTTATACTACTTATCTAGATAATATCTTTATTTATAATAATATTAAAAATAAATATATTTAGTATATAGAAAAGATATTAAAAAAACTTCGATAAGTTAATTTCTATTTTAATATTAATAAATATAACTTTTATATTATTAGAGTTAAATATTTAAAATTAATTATTATAATAAAAGAAGTAGAAATAAATATAAAGAAAATTAAGACTATTACTTAATAGGAGAAATTTAGATATATTAAAGATATATAAATATTTCTAAAATTTACTAATTTCTATCGAAAGTTTATTATGAAGTACTTTAAAATTGCTATATCTCTAATAAATTTTACTTATATTTAATAAAAGAAGAACTTTATCTACTTATAGACTTAAGAGTACTTTAAATAATTCGCTTTTAAAATATTTAAGAAAGCTTTTACTATTATCTCTATATTTACTTATTTTAATTTAAATAAAAAGATTTAATTAGAAATAAATATATCTAATTTTATAATTATTATTATTCTATTATAAAAAAATAAAAATAAAGTATTTAAATCTATAATATTTCTTTTTAAGAAGATATCTTCTATAAAATATAATTATAATATTTATAATAAGAAATTTATAATTATAATATAGATTTTTAAGAAATAATATTCTAAGCTAGCTAATATCTCTATTAAGAATTTTATTAAAATTATTTTAAATTATAAGAATTTATAATATTTTATATTTTTTAAATAATTTAACTCTCGCTAAATAAGATAAGCGAAGTTTTTCTTTAAATTTAACTTTTATATTATTTATCGATTTAGAAAATAAAATATTAAATCTAATAATCTTATCTAATAAGTAGAAAATTTATCTAAAAATAAAAATAATAATTATACTCGTTATTAATATTATATAATTTTTAAAAATAATAATTTTAATAAAGATATTAAGAATATTATATATCTTATTATTATACTTCTAGACGATATAAGAAAAAATATTATCTCTTTAATTATAATATTATATAAATTTAGCGAATAAAATAATATTAATAATAAGAAATTTAATAAAGAATTATTATTAATGGTTTTAATAGAGACTTCTTAAAAGAAGTTCTTAGAAAAATTAAGAGAAGTCTTTACTATTAATACTTCTAAATTATTATATTAAATAAAAAATATTTATAATTATAATAATATTATTTAAAAAATTATATAATTTAAGATATTTAAATAAAGAAAATTACTATTTAAAATAATTAAGAATAATTTTAAGTTAAAATTAAGTAATTATTATCTTTATAATAAATTATTATATATTAATAAAAGATTATATATACTAAATATTCTTAAATTATAAATTAAAATTATTAGAAATATTTATAACTCTTTATTTAAAGATTATATTAATAGATTATTAATCTATAATAAGTTAAATAGACTTTACTATTAATTAAAAATAATGAATTCTATTATTCGCTATATTAAGAGCTATTATATTTATAAAAGATTTAAGACTTATAAAAGATCTATTTAAATTTTTATTTATTT